AATATTAAGAATAAACAAAGAACTGTAGAAAATATATTGAAATGGTCTTAATAAAACTAAATACTAGCCGATCCAACGCCGTCTTGTTTGCAAGTTTCATAAGTTGATACAACTAAATTAATAATTGGTAATAATGCATTCATTTCAACATAATTGATTACCATACAAATTATATACTCGATAAATGATCTATCAAATACAAAAAGAATTTATTCGAATCAGTAGTTTTAGAATTTTATAATATTAGTATGAACAAGGACTGTACTAAACCATTATAATAGTTATAAAAATAATATTTAAACACGTTTAAATAAAACATAGTGTTAATAAATAATTCTCAAATAAGTTTTACCAATATATATCGTCTTTTAAACCGTTAAAGTGTTTTATTTAAACGTAGATAACTAGTAGTTTTTTACAATTGTTTACCTACTTTAAAAAATAAATTGTATTTGTTTGTCAGTAATATTATTTGAATGTGATTTTAGTAAACCGTACCGTCGGTTGTCTAAAATTAATAAAGACAGGTTTGATTTAAAATATTGAAAACTCTCAACGATATTCCGACTAGGTCACTAATTGGACCTTCATGAAAAGGTCAAGAACAACATCAATTAGAGTCTGCATAATGAGAAACAAAGAAAAGAATTTGGACCGCTCTCTGCTTTAAATTAATAATCAGAACCTAGTAGGAAATATATTTCTGAAATTACACGGACTTTCTGGGCGCGTTGAAAACTTTTGTGGCGCGTGTTTGAAAGAGTTTTAGGGTACCGCGCTAAATGGGACAGGACCCTGTTATTATGTTTTCGCTGTCTGCTACTAACTTCAAGCTCTATCTATTCTCGATTGTCAGACTATCTATTTATTTGTTTTTAAGTTTTTATTCTTCTGTTTGTCTGACTATCTTTTTTTTTTTTTTTTTTTTTTTTTATTCTTCTGTTTGTCTTTTATAGATAGCCAGACACTATCTTTTTCTGTTCTGTCGGTTCGTTTTTCTTTTTTCGTATTTTGTCTGATCATCTGTCTGTCGCCAGCCTCTATATACAATAACAATGGAGACTCTCTAGACTGTTAAAGGATTTATCAAAAATTTCCACTTTAATAACAGATGCTAAAAACAAAATAATGGTCCCGTACAATTAATGTCATTTTGTCTATATCTCGATGTGAATAAATAGTAAAGGATTGGCCCATGGAATAACCAAAAAGAATCAGTAGTACGGAACCCTTTTGCGCTGGTTAGATTGTACTTCGCAGATTTTTAAGATTAAAAATGTATTTAACTCAGTTCTATCTCTTGTAACTATATATCTTTAATCTTATTTCATTAGATTTAGCTTGTTTTAAGTTGAGAGATTTTTTACTTATCAATGTTAGTTTAAATTTACAGGTGAATGCCGCATTACGTGTCTAATCGTGTTTTGATTTCTGAATATCCAAGCCAAAATACGTAGGCCGCGCATCTTGTTAAGATGTTATAAGGCTGGGCTGCTATACATATATTTCACCTACCATCGACATAATCCGATACTTCTACCGTGTCTATTATTCACCATTACCCCGTACAGGGTAAGTATATATATAATTTCGATCAAGCAGACAAAAGTGTGACCGATTACTTGCTTGTAAATAAAATCGTATGGAATTCGAAACGGACACAGTAATGTGTCTCCCCATATCCCTGCCTAAGAAAAACATAAAAACAATATGTGAATGTTGTTAAGCATGTATCTTACATATTATCTGTACCAATAACATTCCTCGAATATAATTCAGTGGTTTGGCATCCGTTTTACAAGAAATATATAACCAGAGTAGAAACCGCATAAAGAAATATGAAGATAGAATGAAAGAGCTAGAAGCCAATCACTAGAGGTACGTAGAAATGCTGCACTGTTTACATGCCTCCACAACTTTTTCACAATTACCCATCTCTTCTACAACATATCGGAATTTGCGTCCCATCATTTAATTAGTTATAACCTTTAGATCGCCCAAAAATATTGTAAAAATAACTATGTTATCTAAGTTTACGCGAGTAGTACACATTTAAATAAAACACTTTTTCCTTTTCGGATGATCCGAACGTCGAAGTTAAAAATCATTTTCAAATAAGTTTAACTAATATATCGCGTTTTAAACCTTAAAGGTTTATTTAAAAATCTATGGTTTAAAGCCCATTCAGGCAATCTGTAAATTGTACAATAATTGTATTTTTAAATTGGATCAATTAGATTTATTCGTCAACTCAAATATGTTCAAGAAAAAAGTTTTAGAAATTTTACTCTTTAAATGATCCGAGAATTAATGTTTTTTTTTTAAGATTGCAAGAACGACGGGATGCGGACGACGTCGTGAGTAACAGCTAGTCTTACATGCTTCTATTGTTTTCCAAAAGTTAACTTGTTTAATTATAATACACTTTGTTGTATAAAGATCTAGTGAATTGTCAACCAATAAGCAACAAATCAGGGTAATAAAAAAAGGTATTCCGTTTATTCTTCACCCTGAAATCTCCAAGTTAAAAGATTAGCCTCCATTAAGTAATGAGGGAGGTTAGCATATTACCTAATAGCAGGTGTACGGGTAAAGGGTCGAAGGTAAATGCCTCTCCGTAGGGGTTAACTTAACGACAATCGTTACTCTAAGATATTTTTACACTCGCCTAATTGGTTGACCGTCTTTAATAAAATCTTTGCTAAAATGGGTCGACAGCACATTTTTGTAGATGTGACATTCTGAAATACACACGACCGAAACTCGATTACATTACACGGCTCTCTCATCTGTTAAGGGTGATTCGTGGCCCGGACGGTTTAAAATATTTACAATCACCAATTTAGATATCTAGAAGAAATAAAACATGTTTCTGAAAAATCATAATATAAATCTGACCCGACGATAAGGCATGAATGGCTGGCTACCTTGCTACCTTTCAACCAAACAGCCAAAATTTAATATAATAACGTGTAAATCACGACAGACACACTTTATTTAAAATCTGTCATTGTGTTACTGTACAATTTTCCCAAGATCCAAACCTAAGACTCCTTAACACAACGGGCACGTCTTATGGTAGCTATGTATGGCTAAAATATATGGTTATAATTCTTCTGAAACATGGACTTCATCTGGAAATCTGGATCCTTGAATATTTAAAACGAAAATAGGGCGACAGAGCATCTTCCTTGGATGCTATAGGCTGGGACATATCATCTACCGTCAAGTGAACGCCACGATTGTCTGTCAACAATGCGACAAAATTTTATTTTATATATTCGGTATCCACATTAACCGTGTTATAATTTTCAAAGATTCGTTTGCTCACTCATTATAATGCATAATGTAAATTAATTATAAACACGGCTGAGGGGAAACACAAAAAGTTGTGAGAATAATAGCCCTGACTTGACCTAGTTTTTCACAATAATAGAAGTAAGCCTTTCAACTCGCAATTCATCATTGGCGACGTGTGTTGCGACCACAGAGTCTAGACGAACAGTGATTCCAAATCAAAAAAATCTTTGAACTTCATATGTATAAAACTTCATAGCTTCAGTCTTCGTTTGCAATGTATAAGCGACATAAGTGATAATGCAAAAATAACAGTATTTCTTTACTATTTAGAAAGATTTAAAAATATGTCACAGTCTGAACTCGAACCAGCGACGTTTACACGCAGAATATGAAACTAGCAGACCAATCAAAATATCACCTTTAATACGTACCTAGTGTTTTGAAATTCGTTCACGATATACAGGAGCAATAAATAAATGCGGAAATACCATTTTCCTTTGTACTATACTGTTTCTAAATATTGTTGATTTGTAATTTTCGTTTACCAGAAGTCAGAGAGTAACAGACAAACATTGAGTTGTCAATTCTCAATTCGCTTTTTATCTAAATTACCGACCATATTGTACCGTACGGCTCTACCAGTTTGCCAACCTTTTTTATACCCTAGCCATATAACTTCTCAACAAGACGCGCTGTCGAATTATTTTTGATCTTAGTAAAAACTTCTTGGATCCGGTAGGATTCGAACTGACACGACCGGTTGATACCATACATATCTATTAAATCAACGAAGCAACTGTTTTCTTTAATATTCTTCACGATTTATTTGATAATGATGTGCCCAGTACATTTTCACAACTGACTGGCACTACAGTATATAATCCATGGCGTGACGAATTTAATTACGCTCGGTGACACTTCACTGCTGACGTTGACAACTTTGATAGCGTAACGTTTATTTTTAAACTTGCCAAGTTCAATAAACTAAATGTGGACTGGAGGGTATATGCAGTTTTGATTTTAAATCTTATAGATATAAGTAAATAATTCAAACTTGATTATTCATTCACATTCATTACCAGTCAAAACAGTTAAGTAGTTCAAATCAAGGTTAATATATCGCGTTTTAAACCGTATAAGTGTTTTATTTAAATTTACAATGAGTTAAGTAATATATTTAGCCGCTCTGAACCGTTTAAAGTTTGATTTCACTATGTGCGTATCTTCAAGACATATAAACCTACTTACGAAATAGATTTTTGAGATTGTCTATTTTAAAGTAAGGAAATCTATGATACAGACAGAACAAATCTTGTTATGCCAATACATAGGTGTTACATTCTAAGTTTATCAAATTTGGCAATCATTGTGTGCATTTCATTATTGTACCTGTGTTATCCGAACTGTTACTAGATGGCGCTCTGCGACATCTGGGTCGTTATTAAAACGCACTATATTATTTACTAATAAATATAAATAAAAGTGAACATAAATATTTTTCTATTAAAATCAACAATACTGGGTTAGGTTAATAATAATTAAACTAAGCAACAAATCTGTTATTGCAAGAACAGCCGAGTGATGTCCCTTCAGAGCAAAGTTAGTGAATGTGATAATTGGAATCCATTTATTTACCAATATCAAATTGTAATTTCTGTATGTATTCTTTGGTGTATTAATTATTTGTGTTATGTATACAATTATAACTCACCTGCAACCTTCCCAACTGGATGGGTGACCGGCGGCGAAGATGTAGTCGCCGTGGCCGGAGGGTAAACTGGATCGCAACATTCTCTCTCCGGAAACTCACTCGCCCCAACACTAGTTATGCCCAGCACGCACAACCACAAGATGCACATAATTAACCCGCGTCCATACAAAAATGTCCGGCCACAAAATCCATGTTTGACACTAGATCGTCCATTATACACGATCAAAGATTCATTGCAACGCGTTTCTCTTCTAATCTTGACCCCCGTAGTTCCAAAGCCATATCTTTGATTCATCTGTCACTTTATCATCACTCGGCCACTTTTACATAGTTTGTTTGTTTGTTTGTTTTATTGTATTTTTCTGAATAGAAATGGTGGATTCATTTTTTAAATTGCTATATGTTTTGTGTGCAAATATTTAAAGAAGAAATAAATCCATAATTAACTGAATTAGAGCTAAGGATTAAATGTTCAGGGTTCAAAACTCGCCTGTGATCATTTTTTTTATTGGCATTAAAAAATCATGCTAAAAATTTACTCGTAATACACACAAATCAGATATTAAACCAAAGTATGTTATGTCTAAAACATACCCTCATTTAATAACCTAATATGGTGACTCAGTAGTTATATTTTCCCTTTGACGTGCCAAATGTACGTTACAGATTAAATTTATCAAAGTACTGCAAAATGTTGTGCCTTGGACTTCTGTAAAATTTTACACTATTTCGTCGCGTTAATGTAAAAATGTTATACGGTTCTTCGTTTAAATTTTTAGTTTAAAATACTTCAATAAATGTGTTGGTAAATTAATTAAACACACAAAAATACTTTAAATATTTACGCATACAATTTAATTTATTCTAAATAATGTTTTGTTTCTGTTATTCGCTCAAATTCTTAAATAATTCGTATGTTTTAATCTCGGCTTGAGCCATTATGAATTCTTAATATGCCATTAAACTTCTCTTGAAATCTCAACGTATATTACTTTTCTTTCAAAGTTTTATTTTAGGGAGATTTTATTAAGAGTCACTCTTCGAGTTTTTCCATCATCTGTCGCTTTAAATGAGTGGATACGTTTATCTTTTTAGACTTGAATGACATATTTTTAAATTACGCTTACTGGTAACTACAAAAAAAAAATAGTTTCTTAAGATGATCATTTATTAAAACCGATATTTTAATATTGTTTATTGATTTTCAATATCAATTTTTTATCTAAAATTTATCAACTTGTAAATACTACAGCCCTACGCACTAGTCTACGGCGTAGAGTGCGCTACGACGTATACTCGTAGCGGTAAAATGTAACTAATAAAAGTTTACTTCAATTTATTAAGGGTTCAACTATTATAATGACGTAATAAAACGATATGAGAACAAGTTCTTTCTAAGTATACAATAAAAATAATATAAAGCAGTTGCGAACAAACAAGACATCTTAGCTTAGTCGCTACAGAGTTTTTGAGAGGACACTATGACCGTTCGAGAGGGGTGGAAAGTTCAGCCTAGGTCTTATTAAGGGCAACCTCCGAGTTATTGATTTTATTTCTTTAAAACTTGCACGTGTGTTTCCTACATTTCTAGATTTAGTTCGAGGAAAGGGCATGTTTAAAGGTTACTTTACATTACGTCAGGTTAATGCGTTTGTTGAATGACTATTTTATAAATATAATTTATGAAATGCTTGATACACATTGAATATTACTTTGCTCTGATTTTTTATTAATCTTATATTACAAATATGTGCTATAATTGAAAATCGTTAATTGGAGACAGGCCTTGGCTTTCCTATAAACATATAAACTGCTTTAGTTCTGGTGCAAGTACATTAGAAATTAATCAGTCTTTCAAATAATATATTGACTACTCAGGACGTACTTAGTCAAAGCTAGATAAGGTATTATTTTATTCGATCTTATAAACTAAGCCCCAATTCAAGTTGGATCCCAAATTCAAAAGAACAATCGCCATCTAACCTCTATAACTGCTTCGAGGTATCAAGGAAAAGCCTGAATATACAGATTTCCCGCCATTTACAGTTCGTGGTTCGCGCGCTTTTCTCTCTAAAGAAGTAGCTAGATTCTATTTTTAAACGCAAGTGGTCCTCTCTTCCGCTTCCGCTATTTGTGCCTTCTTGAATATAATTAAAAAGAACATCATCTCTTTTTTTACCTGGTTTTTTAAAAATATAGATTTTCTTATTTAGATCAAATATGTATCGAGTAGTGAAATCAGAAAGCTACCTAATTATGTTATAGCTCAAATCTCAATTCAACTTGGTACTCAATATTCAATCTAAGCTAAGTGTTACATAATATTGAGTCGCTCTAAATCGACGGGTGCTCGTCACATTTTATCTAACCGACATCATTGAATTCATAACTTATTTAAATATTTGGGAAGTTTAAATTTAAGCTCGTTCTTTATAACTAGGTCATACGTTTACCACAGATAAAATGCGCGATCGCTACGAAGAATCGGTTTTCCAAGGCACAACATAAGCACTCAACACAGGACACATATACGAAGTAGATGAACGAATTACGTTTTAAAAAAAATCGAAAAGGTACGCGTGTCTCATAACGCGCTGTGCGACCAAACACTGCAACAGCCAAGATTCTACTAACGTACTAGACCTGATCGGGTCACCCCTCACCCCAAGTACCCCTTTGAGCCCTCGACCGTGGCTACCATGCAACCTCCGAAATGGATTAAATACACCGACCGCCTAAATTAACTTTGAACTCTATACCATCAACACAAGGCGTATAACCGCTTGTTAACACAACTGATTTTCTAACACTAATGTGTGCCGGAAAAGCGAATGCGCCCCACAGTCTCACAAGTCACTACCGGAGAGCTTTTGAACCTCAATACTCGACTTTAAAGCCTTACAATAACGTGTATTTTCATCCAACTTCATCTAGATCGCGAGCGAAAATTGTTACTGTGCGGGTCGAACGCGAATGTCCAAATTCGATTATCCTATAATTATAACAATGGTCTTTATGCACTCAATTATAAAGTGGATATTTGTAAATCACCCCGCGCTTTACCGGATTCTGTTGGCTTTCCACAGTTCATATTCGCTCTTCCAAAACTTTAAATAGCGGTTGGGGCAATATGAATCTTATTTTTCGTGACATAGAGTTTATTTAAGAGGGTGACCGTTAAATATGAAAAATCGAAATTTTGAAGCGAAGGACGTTTATGAATGCGAGCGAAGATTTTGTTAAATGAGAACAATACGATGTGCATTTACTTGACAAAATGGTTGCATTCTATCTTAGTAGAAGGAAAAATGTCTTCATAATTCTTGAATTTTCTTCGTCGTTTAAGTGTTGCAGTTGGAATAAGTTTGATGTTAGTTAACATTTGAGAACTTTAATACTTTTCACATCTTATTGCAGGTGGCATTACATAACTTTAGATTAAAATGACACAAGTGGGACTTTTATGTCATTTTAATCTAACCGGGATTCACAGCATTTCGTGCTGCTCTTATCATATACACGAAGTCGTCGAATTCATTCGCATTTCGATTTCAGTCTGTGGATTCCGAATATTCAAAGCCAAAATGGCGCATCTTGTTTAGATGTGTGGTATATTCACCTACTTGTACCTACCGTTGCTGCTCTAACCAGGAACATAAAACGCTGTAGATGCCGGTTCAAGTCTCTTCCATGTCTTAACTTAACCGTTTTAATCTTTACCCTGTATCCTATAGTTTTGTCAGATGTCTAATCATAAAACACTGTTTTACCGCAATTTCTACGGTAGATAACATTTAGTTGTAATTGTTTGGTTGAAAAATGAGAATTAGATATTAATACTAATATTACTCGACACATAGCAAGTGTATGAATGAACAAAGCCAAAATAGGTCAACATTGCATCTTGTTTAGATGTTTCAGGCTGAGATATATCATTTACCATCAACCCATGCTCGACTGTCTATCATTAAAAAATACAATGATATTTTAATAACAAATAGTTTTATTAAAAACAACTAATTCTCTATACCATACGCTTTTAACATGACCACGGTCGTCGGCTAGTTCGATACATTGCTGAATCAGAATACAGTTTAAACAGGTCAACTGACCGTCTGGGTCAAATAGATTTACCATAAAAGTTTAATTTAAAACGCAATGCTTATGACCTGTTAACTAGTTAATATTGATTTATAAGTGTAAACTGGTATTGTAGACACGTTTATACATATATATATATATATATATATATACATACGGTTATATATATATATAGTGTATATAGAAGTTTTACCGCTCGGGAGTGGGTTTGAATCCCCGCTAAAAAGTTGCTTAAGAATGTGCTGTCTGTAGCCTTCACATTTACATGAAAACACTTTGGACGCGAAAAATACCGAGTTGACTAGTAAATTTCGCGTTTTAAACCGTTAAAAGTTATAACTTATGAGCCAGTTAATATGGACTTATATATGAACTGTTATTATAGACTTATTATACTATTAGCCTTTATAAATCAAAGTTTTTAACATATTGCAAGCGCGATCGCGGGTTTGAATTCAAAAAGAAGAATTCTTCTAGAATTTATAAGTAAGGCAAAAACACACTTTTTAATAACCATTTAATTAGCGCAATCGCTAAACGGTTGAACCCAGGTAAAAACATTGGTTGTTTCGCTCAGACTTACAATAAATATAAATGTCCTTATAATATCCCTCTTTCCTCATAGATTTTTTTAATATAACTTGTTCCTATTATTAAACGTTGTTTGTTTGTTGTTCGTTTGTTTAATTAACTTGTTTCTTTTTATGTCGCCTGGACAAGGCCGTATGTAATAAATAACTTTAAAATAAATTAATGAGACAACGCCAAAAGGTATTTCAATTTTCTTAAAACAAGAGTTAAACCTCAGCGGCTCACAAAACAGGTTATTACGACTCTGTTCTTATACTGAAAGGGCTTTTAAAATGCAATATTTCCTTTGAAAATCTTATAACTATACAAGTTCTATATAAAGAATCTGTTTTAATATTTAACTGGTAGCTTAAAGAGTCTTCTAGTGTTTTCTCGTGGAGTGCAGACATTGTTATCCTTTAAATAACACTTTAACGGTTTAAAACGAGATATATTAGTTAAACTTATTTGAAAATGATTTTTTAACTTCGGCCCGACGTTTCCTATTGTTTGCCACTGGTGTTCCATATATCTGTAGTGTACGCGGGTAGTACACATTTAAATAAAACACTTTAACGGTTTAAAACGCGATATATATAGGCTAAACCTGTTTGAAAACTATTTTAACTACGGCTCAACGTTTCGGATGCTGCAGCCGTGGTCACGGGAAGACTACAAAAGGTCTCTGAGGTCAAAGTAGAAACGTCATGGCCGTAGTGAAAATGTTTTTCAAACAAGTTTAACTAGTATATGTCGCATTTTAAACCTTTAAGTGCTTTATTTTTTATAGTATTGTTGTATAAAACGTAATCGGTAGATAAAAAACCACTTTAAACGGCTTTTAAAACGCAAAATTTATTCGATAACCGATTTTTAGTACAATAACGAAGTTTCGGCTTATAAATTGAAAACCTATTTTATTTTATATGAAAAAATTTATGACAGTTGCAGGAATTGAACCGGCATCCACAGCGTTCCGTGCTGTTGCTCTATTCAATTGAGCTACCGTGCCCTACGTTATTATTGTGACGATCATGCTCTATAATTTAGTTGCGTAGTAAAACACTTGCTTATGTGTCGGGTAACGTAAAACTGTATCTATGCTATATTTTTATTTATTTATTAAATAAAGTAAAACATCTTTTAATGTATTTGTGTATGTTCCTGTGTGTACAATGTGAAAAGACTAATTGTTTTTTACAGAGTTAATCAGACAAGCATGGCGTTAAGTCGTTAGATGAAATACCCGGCCGTATAACAAAGATGCGTCGTCGCCCTATTTTTCAGCAACTCGAAATTTAGCTTTTCCGATTTTGTCACACCGCACCCTAATTCCCAAGTTCCCTAAAAGCGGGATTTCAAATAACTTCACGCGTCACAAAAGAAAGCACAATGTACCAGTATGTATATATATTATCCACTTGGCTTTGCTACCGAGTTGTCGCAGTTTACAAATCGTTAGTATATATCAAAGATGTAAAGCACTGAACACTCTAAGCGTTTTATTCTTTAATAAAAAAAAGAAGTTTCCTGTAGCTTACTCGAGCGATAACTAAGTATTTTAACTAGATGTAGTCGGGTCATACGTAGTGTCGGGTCATTTACGGCCCAATATATATGATGACCCGACGGTAATATTTTCAAAATCATACCGTCGGACAAAATCGTAGACAGAACGCGGTAGCGCAACTCATGACGAAAACAATATGCTTCGGTCGTCAGTTCGAGTTCCGCCCGTATCATATTCCTTGATTTAAAACAGATGTGTTCGCTGTGACTTGCATGTGAAGTAATAACAATTTACGTCGTATTCTAATAAGTCAATATTGCCAAGAATGGCTAACAAAAAGAAACACGAATATACGCGCGTTTCACGTGGTTTTCTCTGCGGCGCATCCAGTACTAAATATCATCGGTTCAAAGGCATAAAAATATAGCTGTGTTTACGTCAATTGTAATGAACGGTGACCTCAAAGATTTGTGATAAGTATTAAAATACATAGTTACTAGTTGGCTTTTCAATTGCGGAAATAATTTCGGTGGCGTGTTTCATGGCCACACTTAAATTATCGTGAGTTCTAGAAAATTTAAAAGCGATTTTTATGTTCTAATACCTAAGTACAAACCACTGCAGATACTGTCTCCATAGCGCAATGGTTAATTACACTAGTTACTTACCTCAGGATATACTTTAACATTATTGTTTCGGTCACACTAAGCACAGAAGTCTTATTCCACACACACACCTTGCACACACATAAAATTGATATGTGAATAAAACACTGATAAGTCAACCCCACGCCCAAGATAGGGAATACGAATTTTTAATTTCTTCATCGTTGGAAAAAAATAATTTATCATTATTTTGGCAAGATACACTATTTTTAGAGAGCAAAAGTTGAATTTAAATACACACACATACAGTGTTACAGTCTCCCCTTCACCACCACTGCTGCAACCAACCGAAGTTAAAAATCATTTTCAAATAATTAACTAATATATCGCGTTTTAAACCGTTAAAGTGTTTTATTTAAATGTGTACTACTCCCGTAAACTTTTTAGACAGTATTGACCAAAAGTTGAATACAATTAAAACGGCAGTAATATTAACAAGTTCCACTTCCACATTTAATTAAATCACAAAAACCTAACTACCCTCCACTACTTTCGAATTAACAAATAACACAACACTGAATTATTTGAAAGAAAGACATATTGACTATTCAAGCGGGCAGTGACCACTTAGGCAAGTTGACGGTCCGAAATGGGGCGCAAATGAGGCGCCACCACTACACCTTCTCCTTATCCCCTCCTTGATGACGTCATCTCAACATTTCCCCAAAACTATAGTATATTTTTTTTATACGATGGTGAAAAATTGTTAAAACAAACTATTGAATTATATTTATGTCTAATCATAATTGTCACACACAGTATTGACTAGAATCATTTATTGCACATTACTTCTTACATCTATAATAACATGAATAATATAACAAATCCTTACGTTAACCAAAATTGCCTATTCAAAATTACTTATACCAACGGAAACGTTACTCTCACCATCCAATAAATGACAATCTTCAAATTCGTTGCGCTTTTCATCGATTTTTTCAAAATTATTCTTGCATAAGAAATCGCTGTCACAGACGAAGTCATTCCTACCATCTTCCATTATAGCCTCTTCGTATGGTTCTCTGAATCTCTTATCGCTCTCATTGTATTGGTACCTTTCGATTTCAAAGTCTGGTGATATCGTTTGACCTTCATTCACTGTCTCCTTGCCAAGTATATCATCAGATTCGATCCCACGATTAATTTGAATATCATTATAGTTCGCCCGAGCAACGTTTTCATTCTTCACTTCGTATTTGACATCGGATATGTCTGTGTCACGGTTCTCCAATAATGGTTTTATATGCATAAGATTAAAATTTGGCATCATTCTGGTGTCCCATGGGTTTAGTGGCGGTTCTTGCGACTCCAGATCCAGGTGGACGTCTTCGTCAACTTTCTTAAAGCTACCTAGGTTGTACTGTAAGGGAATTGAGAAGGAGGGTAGATCTATTTGTTGGTTTTGTCTCGTTGGTAAAGCAGAGATGTGAATTGCAGGTGTGGACTGCTTGTTCTTGATGTAGTTGCTTTGATGTGATGCTTCAGCCATGTTGATGATTTGTGGCGAAGACACTGTAACAGAGATTTTTACATTTTTTAATTTAGCAAACTTATTAATGCGAAAAGACATCCCTAAGATAGGGGAACAATGGACGAATAGTATCTAAAAACATGTTTTAGAGATAATTAGTGTATAAAATGAACTTTAGAAGAATAAAATATAGCAAACAAGTTAAGTCCAGTGTAAGATAGTACCAAATATATACGTTTTTATTTATTTGATATTAACGATTTAATAGGGTATCAACTCGTTTAAAATAGATTCATTTTATCAATCACCGGAAAATTTAAATAAATAAAGATCTTTCACTTGTACTTGAACGCACACATTGTGCCTACTGGATATGATTTTTTAAGGCAACGATTAATATATTCTTCCTACCAGGTATAGTTATGAAGTCCCTCATCTCCAAAGCCAGTGATGATGGAGAACGTTGTTCTGGAGACCTGGTGGAACGTGGCGGGTATGGTTCACACCCCGACTTTTGCTGTTTTCGCCACTTAGCTCGACGGTTTTGGAACCAGACCTAGAGCAAATGTATCGGACTCAATACAACTAAAAGTTATTAGTATTTATATAGAACATTTAGCATGCAATTTCTGAAGTTTACGGGAGTAGTACACATTTAAATAAAACACTTTTAATGGTTCATATCGTAAAATGTATTGCGTAGTATATTTGACTTTGACATTAGTAATACTCTCTATATCCAGTCAAGGTTTTTTAATTGAATGAAAATAGTTTTCGCAATACTAAAACGTTAGTATAGATGTCCTGTCGACCTATTTTAGTTTTGGATATTCGGAATCCACAGTCTCAAACTGAAACGCGGCCTTTTCCTTTAGTGATCAGGATAGAATTTCGAAATTCCTACCACCCATTCAATACCCTGAGTTTCCAGACACAGCCCAACATGTTTCAGAAACATTGTACATAGATTAGCAAATGTGGGTATCATACCCACGACCCGTAAGCCATACATTGCTACCAATATATCGATTAGCCCATCAATATTAAGAAATACCATTATTTAAGCCAGTTCATTTAATTAAAGCTGGCTAGGGAAATATTAAATACTGTCTGTAGTTTACGCGGGTAGTACACATTTAAATAAAACACTTTAACCGTTTAAAACGCGATATATGTTAGTTAAACTTATTTTAAAATTATTTTAACCACACTACTACTTTGCAGCGTTAAAGTGCTTTATTTAAATAGGGAATAGCAATTAAATACCTGTACTCTAGCTTCAGTCAGATCTATTCTCATCGCGAGTTCTTCTCTGAAGAATACGTCGGGGTAGTGCGTCTTGTGGAAGGCCGCCTCTAGTTGTTCCAATTGCACGTTTGAAAATGTTGTTCTGGAATTGAAAATTGTTTATATTTATAGTGATAATATATTCTAGTATTTTCCTTTTAAATTTTTAACTCAATTCTACCTGTATCTCCGCTGTTTTCTCTTCGGTATGTCACCACCTTTTGAACCTGAAAAAAAAATACGTGAAAAGTCTTAATTCGTGCGCAGATTAACATACAACAAATATCTGTGTCCATTTCAGCGATCAGTTCTTGACATTTAATACTTGACAATTAACAGGCATGTAGTTGATTACACTTTTGTGCCTTGCCCGTCCGAAACAATCTATTGCATCCCTGGGATTCGAACCCAGGAACATCTCGCACTTAACGCAATGCTAGTCAACACATTAAACCATTTGTCTAGAGAGTCGATCGCACGGTATGAGATAACCGATTTAAATAAAACACTTTCGAGGGGTCACCCCCATGATCACTGCTGCTCTGAAGCATCAGAAATACCAGGCTACACCAGTTAACCAGTATATTCCGCGTTTTACACCGTTAGAAATGCTACTACTCACATAAACTGCGGCCACCGCATGGTAAATAAAATTCACATCAAATTCTAGTAATATTAGTAAAGCTGATTCACGTAACATTACTAGTTCTTACTAATATTTCAATTAATAAATAATTATTAAGTCAGTATAAAGCGAATAAGTCATAATATCATACCGGAGTTTGGTGAATACTCTTCATCATCTTCAAACTGATGAGGTTCCTCTTCAGCCGGTTCTTGCGTTGAATAGTTCTCGCTTACTTCAGTTTCCGGACGTTCACATAAGGATCCTGAACCTAAGCTGAAATAAGGCTATTCTTAGAGAGAAATCAATACAGGGATATATAAACTATAAAAGGATATATCAGGAGGAACATGGTTGACTATAAAATTTAATTCGAATTAAGCTATTGTAAAAATCGTGTTCGTTATTTATATCCTCTAAATTGTCACTCAAAAATCACTCTTCGCTAAAACATACCTATACTAAAACATAAAGGTGAAGAGTTTGTTTGTTTGTTTGAACGCGCTAATCACAGGAACTACTGGTTCAAATTGAAAAGTTATTTTTGTGTTTGCTCTACATTTATAGAGGAAGCGTGGCAAAACGAGGAAAATTATTCATCTTTGTAAGTTTCCGAAGCGTACGCTGCGTAAATCGTTCAAGATACCCAAAAAATATGTATGAAAGAATGATTCCCCTTTAAATGGCGCTGACGCAGCTATTGTATGTATACATAAATTGTTATCCATCCGAAAAATTAAAGCTAAGAATGTCAAATCTTTAACAGGAAGATAGAAAATGGAAACATAACAATTTTCCTAACTTTTCACCCCCATCTTATACTCCCAAATATACGAAACAGCTTTTATATATATGTATATAGCTTTTATATAGATAATAGAGAAAAATTATAAACTAATAAACATACCCGAGAACAAGAATAGCGCATTATATTTCAAAAAACATGATTAAATTCCTGTTTTTTTATATTATGCCAATAGGGACATATTTCTGTGTTTATTTGACTGATATATTTTATTCCCAGGCAAGTTTCTAATCAACTTCACTCAGTTCAAAGTTAACTAGATTATATTAATATTACAAAATTTCTCAAATGAACTTACCTATTAAACAAATTGGGTATATTATAGCAGAAGCTCGTGGTCGGAGATACGTCATCGTTCAAAATGGCCGCCGAGTCGAAGCCGGCTGCGCTGTGGCCCTCGCCTCGGCCATCAAGAGATTCTTCCATCTGAATGAAAGTTGTAACCAATAGTTAATACAATTGTTGTTACTAGAAACACGGTTTTATTTGTTTTTCATTTTTCTTATGAAATTTATGTGTTACAAAACAAATTAATTTTATCTTTAAATCCGCATTTTACATGTATTAAACGTAAAAACAATCTTCAACTCGTCAGTGTTAAGTCAACAATAAAAAATGCTCTAGAAAATTAGACTTTGGTTTGGTGATTAACATTTTTGCAATAGAGGACTATAGTTTGTAATCAAAGGCATAAGTATAAAAAACGTTGGATGAATGTAAACGAAGCAAAATTAAGAAACTATTTAAAATATAATAATATTTTCACTTAATCTTTTATTCAATTAAGATTATGGTTAGAACACTAGACATAATGTATTTGTGAAATTGATAAGAAATTAGTTTTATAAAAAAAGCTCAATGATAGATGCGAAAGATGCAACTTTTTTTATTTACATCTCGTCGCTTATGCTTACGCTTTCATTTACTAAGTTTTAATTTACATTTAGTATTTAATTTTAGGTTTTAAGCCGTTGAATGAAGTTTATTTAAAGTGTTCCGTATCGATAAAGTTTTTCGTAGAACGTTTAACTTCATTTTCATTTAGCGACATAATGCTATAAGAAGGGTGATTGACCGCCCACAACTAGCCAGCAACGCAAGTTAAATTGAATTAAATGCCTATAATTTAGTTAAGTTTATTAAATTATCACTAAATGAGTATAATTTGTTTCACTTTCCCGATACAGTTTTGTAAGCGTTCCCGATAGAACGCAGCGTTCGTTTTCGCGGGAATTTTTTTGACAGATGTCACGGTTTATTGGGAACCTGTAAAATTACGTTTCTCCGTTCGTATGTCTGCAAAATTTTAAATATTCGTTTTGTGACAAAATATAAAACTATTCTTTCAAGAGCAGTGGTGGTATTGTGCTTTGAATTTAAATTGTAATACATACTATGTTATACATATACACCTAAATATCTTAGTGAAAATATAAGTTATATATGGTTTACATAAAAAAAAGGTTTATACAAATTTTTGGGAGTGCAATGCATTTATCAGACTTAGTCATATAAGGTTTTCAAAATAAAAAAATATATATCTTAATAACTATCTTTAAATTATGTTTACAATATATATTAATACAAATCTTCAAATATATATAAATGTAAATATGCAGTGACTTTATATTTTTTTTTACTTTTTTAATTACAAGCTCTACATGATTTGTTTTATGAATAGAAAAACTTATTAATTTTATTTACACTAACTTTGTTAAGTTCAGGAATAAATGATTGTAATTTAATTAAAAACGCACTCACTGTTTAAGCGATGTAAGCTTCCATTCCCTTAAAATTGTCGTTTTTTGTGGTAAAAAAATCGTGTTGTAACTATTGTCACGTGGTCGCCTGTACTGAAGTGAACACCGATAGCCCGCTAGCGATCAAGGAACAGAAAAATCAACGGAGTCGCGCGACGTTTCTTTCTTATGGCCGCGAAGTTTTATTCAAACCGCTATAATATACGAATTTGAACATTAAAATTAATACGTTTCTAATACTTTCCCAAATACTTACTTGTCATGTTTACTTTTTAACCGTATTAAAATTTCGCGTTCAACGCAAGTCTTTTCAATTATTGTAATATTATATGAATCGCATAACACCTTTAATAGTTCAAATACTCAATAGTTTTTATCAGAACGACCGATTATACAGATTGTGTATGTTTGATCAAATACTACTAAAATCAACTTTTTTTATTATAATTTTACATAAATGAAACCTGTACAGCGATTTAATTACTACAATCACTCATAATCCAATATATAACATAATTAAAGCATCAAATAGCAAGAATCTTGAACAGACACAGAATTATGTCTGCCCCACGAACTACATACCATATAGCTACCTCTAAAAATAAGACTTTTGTCTAAAAAAAGTTGTGGGGTAAAAGTCGTGAGAAACTTTTTCAGAAATGTCGACTCGACGCATTTTTGTCCGACTTGCCTAGAAAACCAATGACGTTTGCTATTGCGCTACACATAAACAAATCGTTATATAGCTATCCACGTGTGTTCGTCTGTTCGATGCTAAGCCTGGCTCAAGGGGGAGTTGGGAGGGATGACTTAGAAGTGACTCTGTATCGCTGTCAGCCGCAATATATTTTTTCTATAAGTAGACTACATCTTTGATTTCAAAGTCCCTCCATAATATAGAAATTCTATACTACACAATAGTTAAATATCTAGTCGACATAAAACCTTTTTTACTGCATATAACTTTTTCATTGGGACTAAAATACATGTTTGTTATCCTTCGTTTCTTTAAATCATACCGAAATTTATTAATTTTTATAAAAATATTAAACGGCGGCAAGGCATGGTTTCTTTGAGATAAATGTGACGCTCGTAAGTAAATAAAAAATAATTTAAAATCAAAATATATGTAATATTTTTGTACTGTAATCTACTTATTTGTAGGTTTGTTTATGCAATAGTTTTCTTATTATTATCTTGACATGGACGAACCTATCACTAACAACGTAATGTACTGCTGTTATAGCCATGTTGAAATATTATTATGTCCATTTAAATAAAACACTTTAACGGTTAAAAACGCGATATTAAACGGTGAGAACCCAGTGACCACCCGTGAATACGGCTGCTGCAAAGCATCCGAAACGTCGGGCCGAAGTTAAAATCATTTTCAAATAATTTTAACTAATATATCGCGTTTTAAACCGTTAAAGTGTTTTATATAAATGTGTACTACTCGCGTAAACTCTATAGTTTATTTACAGTATTTATTATGTCCATTTTAAACATGGGCGACAGCGTGTATATACATTGTTGGTATTTTTCTACATTTTTCTATGACCGACGAGACACAGATAAGCTTTAGATGGAATCCTTAAAATCCAAACAAGATGTATTACGACCTCTTGCATTAGGTATTCGGAAAAGAAACAAACTTTTCGTCTTTTCCAAAATTGTTCTTCTCTGAAAATGGTTCGAAAAATACGTTATTAAATTTATTTAAAAAATATAGTGGATCGAACAAAGAACAAACAGTTGAGTATAGACATACATAGGATCAACAAGCTCGTCAGAAGTAAAGAAATCTATGTCACTCGAGTACCTAAACATATATACAATATCTTAATATTTATCCTCTATGTAGAATAATAAAATGTTTACAATCGATTAGGAAAATTCTACCTCACATATTAATATTATTTTTAAATTTTAAAATTTTTAATAACGAGGTTTTCTCTTGCAGGTTGTTGTGGCGATGGCGCATCAAGCAGACAACAAAAGATTCTACACATAGTTATTCAGTAATTTTCCATCACAAAATGGAGAAAATAATTATTAAAAAGACTACGATTTACTCGCCTTTAATTATCTTTCATAACGTACGATAGATCTTGTAGATCCCAAGCTTTTGTAGTCTCATTCAAAGCACAAGTATTCTCTCTCACAAAAGATAGGGTAAAACCCACCAAGCTGCTCCAAGACTGTTGGCGGCTATAGTTAACATTTTTAACTGTTTAAAACGTAAAATCTAAAACTTGTTTACAATTTATGTCGAACCGTAGTTTAAATATTTGTAAATAAGTAATAATAATATATACTTCGTATTTTAAACCGTGAAAGATGTTTTATTCAAATGTACTACTCGTGTTCAGCTATGGACAATACTTAGCTACATACGTAGGTGGTTCAACGTCCTCGCCCCTAAAAAAATATGGACTTTACTAAAAATATACCGTAAAAATGTAAAGAGATTCGAATTCGCGATTCGCAGTCTAGTTTGATAACTACTAGACTAATGGGATGTTGCAATGTTGGAAATATGAGACTATAACAATTAAATAACATAATACTTACAATATAATCTTTAAGAAGCTGCAATAAAACACAGTTCAACAAAATTCTTATGTTTCAAAATAAAATTAAGTCGTAAAAGAAAAATTACCTACGACACAACTTTGACCGCCTCCGTGGTTCAAGCCCTGGGTTAAAATCACATGAAATGTAGAATAGTTTTATAAGGCACACATAAAACCGATCATCTACTTGCTCATACATAAAATTGTTCAGGGTATAAATTTTGGCATAACTATTTTTTTCTACTAAACATTAATAGTTGATAGAAGCTTCATCTATCTCATTTAAAGTGTTTTTGAGTACCTACTATATGTTATAAAATATTTACGCAATTTAATAATGCTTTATTATTATTATCATGAGAATATCGACATCTTAGGATTTTCATACAATTTAATTCATAAATATAACAATTATTTTAAAACCAAGTTAACTCGTTATGTGTCTCGACATTTGTATACAAAATTATCTGTTTGCTGAATGTATTCTTAACTAGCTAAGATAGCGACTTCGTACGCGTAGAATAATATTGGATATCAATTTTTGTTTTGCAAAACCCGTGTTCAACTCTATGAATTTGAGCCGTTGCCCACACGCCGTTCCCGTCCAAGTTTATCTTATAGTATGGACATATACTGTCGCGGACTTTTTTTTATATCACTTAAAGAGGAATACTCTTTTCCTAAATATTGTTTGGGTATCTTGAACCGTTTTCGCAGCGTACGCAATAGAAACCGACAAGGATGAATTATTTTTCCCCTGTTTTTCGACATTTCCCGCCGTTTCTTCGCTCCTATTCATCACCGCGCTATGCCTATAGCCTTCCTGAAGAAATGCTCTAACACAAAAAAGAATCAATTAAAAACAGTCGTTCCTTAGATTAGCGCGTTTAAACAAACAAACTCCTCAGCTTTATATATTAGTATAGATTAATGGTGACGGGCTTGTTAGTCTAATGATAGCAATGTATGGCCAATAATCAACGGATAGTGGGACCGATATAATAATAAAAAATCCGTTAATCGCGTTTCGGTTTAAGTGTAAGGATTTCCCAAAAATCAACAGCCAAAATAGGCCGACAGTGCTTCTTGTTCGAATGTTGATGACTGAGGTTGCTCTACCATGTGAAACCGATGCGTATCTGTCCTTTATTATAAAGAAAGAAAGAATAACGATCAATAAAATCAGTTAAAAGTCCTTGACATGTTTTATTCGGTTAATTAACTAATACCGATACCTTAAAACATTTGACGAACGTTAAGTAGGAGTTCGAATCCCGAATCAACACAGTCGTGACTGCTTATTGCAGTCTTCTTACTAATAATACAGTTAACGATTTCTGTAACTGTTATGTACGTAGTTTACGAAATAAGGATAACCTAGCTATCCCCAAATATAGGCTCCATAAAATATCTAATTCATTTGCGGGGAATTGCATTCGTATGTATAATACATCGCCAGTTGAGGTTTCAAATTTATCGATAATATCGATAAAATGTAGATAGTCTCAAAAGGCGTATTATTGTCTGAACGACTTCTTTAATGACAGGACCGCCTGGCAGTAATATGAATCCCTCCTTAGGTTAATAAATTCACAATGTATTAGTTTTTAAAACACATTTAAAAAAGCCGGACTGAGTTTCTTGGGTGTTCATCTCGGTTATGTTGCTCTTTTGAACACTCTGTAGAATCACGACAAACAGACAGACAAACAAGAAAAATTGACGAATCTAAATTATTTTTTAAATTTCAAAGAGAATTACAGTTTTTACATATTTTTTGAGGGACACAAAAATAAAACACCCAAATTTCTCATGAATGTTAATTCATATTTAATAAATAAATACACTTTCGCTTCTTTAAATAAACTAATGTAAGTGACTTAGTTGTAGCAATTCTCAACAACATTATTAATATACAATATAGGGTGATACCCAACGCGTTATTGCTTAGATCTAATTATAACAACGTAAACTAAAAAATATATATTAATGTCTTCTTCAATATACATACATGTAAATAAGTTAGTAAGAATTATATTACAGAAAACTTAAAAGGATACTTTGACAAGTAAAGTATGGTACCATTTGTAAACACGGTAATAAGCTGTAAGACGCAGGCTACCTCGCTCTGGTGTACGACGAAAGGGAGACAGAACGACCTCTTACAGTACGGTCCTATCGCAAGAAATTATTCATTTCTAAGACAGTTGTATGAGAACACAAAACACATCTTTGGCTTCAAGCGAAATTTACAAAAGCGTTTTAAACAACTGCACACTCGATAACATTTTAAATACGGACCGATAGACAAGTAGATGTCAAGTAGAAAATCGAATTCCATATTTAAAATATACGTTAAAACTAGCCGCTTGAAATACAACACCCGCTTAACGATAATATAACGGTCAAAATTTAACGACGAAACGCTAGATCAATTCCTTTTACATCGTAATGCATTACAATTTAAAATTAGCGCAAGAGTCATTATTCTAGGAGATGGCGTCGACTGCGTGAAAATAAGACGTTATTGGAGAGGCGTTTTATGAAGGTTGCGAATGGTTTAAAATAACTTTAACAAAATAAACCGCTTTTTTTTAATTATTAAAAAATATCGCCTTAATTTTATATATCTAAACATAACAAAAGTATTACGTAATTTCATTGACTAAAACCAACTTTAAACAGGTTTAAACGCGATTTATATTAATTATAGTCATTTTGGTTTTTATCAGGCATTAAATCACCGTGACATAGGATCGTAATATATACTATAGTTCACGTTTCGAACAGGTAAATTTTGAAAATTGCAGTCGACATATGTAGAAACATCTTAAAACTAAATGGAGATTCGTGGTATGGACAACTCTCGGTTCCGTAGTGACGTATACACTTATTGTACATTTGGCAAAATCAGTCAGATTGAAGTCAATAGGTATTATCTTAAGTAGGAAAGAGCTTTGGAAGATATTAATTTACTTTAAAACCATTATTATACAAGTTGAAAATCCATTTAGATTGACTTAACGACACGGGACTTGAAGACCAATTGAGCTTCTACGTCCTACGACGTGTAAATCTGACGATGACGTGGACACGGTATCTCAATTGGTTAGAGCAGGACGCTGTGGATGCTCACCCGTGTCGTCAAATTTTTCTAATCTAAATAGATTTTTAATTTACACGTGTATTGTGAAATATGGACTAAAATTTATGATTTCTTGTTCCTTTTCGTCTTCTACAATGCAGATACAGTTTGCGAGAGTAAGAGCACACCTTGAAAAGAGACAGTAGCATTAATAATATACTGGATAAAGTTGTGCCTCTCTCTCACACTCACACTCTATCTCCCTCACACACTACTTCTATATTTGTTTAGATTCTAACCTTATTACAAACATAACAGTTTTGAACATAAATTGTAAGAGAAAATAAAGCTTAGTTTTAAATAAATATGATAGAGATATAGTTCCTGAGGTGTAGTTTGCGTTGAAAACATCCCGCAACGCGTTACGTAGGAAAGCAGTAGGTTGCTATTTCAAAATATTTATTGTAATTTGAGAAATAAAACAAAATAAACGGTTCAATGAGATTATTAATATCTTCCAAATAGTCATAAGCAGAAAGGAAGTCCTTTAAAAGTACAATTTTTACTTTCCTAACTACTGACGTATCAAATAGTAGAAATAACAAGCTTAGCCGGTAAAAAGTCAACAGTCTACCTTCAACAACTTTAATGTATAAGTAGAGATTATTGAATGATTGTTTATATTAATAAAACTTTAGTGATAAGAAATCTTCTCTCGTTTGTTTCAATTCTATTTCTGGGTATTGTAGAAAAATTAAGTAATACATACGAAATGTTTAGCAGGTAGGTATATAAGTTATAATTTGAGGCGGGCCGATTTAAGTTAGCCACAGATAAAAATCTACTTAATTCTTAAGTTAAATGGTAATGCCAGGGTTGGGTAACGAGTGATTATAATATATAATAAAACTTCTGGGTCAGGACGAATTTACTAAGAATTAAATATTTTTTATTATCTATTATAATAAATCTGTCTATAATCTATTACTCTCAAATGGACTGAGGGGAATGGAGAAATGGACGCCTATCAGTAATCGATATTAAATCACTAATCCACAATTAGATGAATTCGCAAAAATTTTATCTAAATCTATCAACTTTCAACAATGATCGAATAAATTCGTTAATATTATGTGATGCGTTAATTGTGCCGAAAGTAATTATCCGTGATAGAACATCTATTGTATCTATGTCTGAACGTATTTACAAGTTAATCTAAAATTCGATATAATTATGAAAATGTCATGTTAGGTAAAATAAGGTGGCGCGGTCATCGGTGACGTCACTCGTCAGACATAAGAATATGAACCTTATAATTACCCAACATTACGATCATTTCTCAATACACTTTCTGGTAACGATTGAATACATCAATCAGCATGTTATACCCAAACCTCGCTGAAGATGTCGACAAATTTGGTCTTAACCCTGTTAAAATCACGCCCTTTCTTTACTTCGTAGCTTTGTAACCCATTGACGCAATGGGAAATGCCATTTCAGGCCACAGCCCTTTTATAGACTTAATATTTTCCAAATTTGTAAAATCAATTTAATTGTAAATATTTTTACGAATAAAACACAAGTATGGACAACGAAGATACGGAGGACGCTATCGTCGCATTTTGAAGTACTTCGCAAGTTGGATCGTATTTTAAAACATCCTAACGGTTTTTTTCGCATTTGAAAACGTAGAAGTGTTTTATTTAATGAACACTTGCGTAAACCATCGAAAATAGTTAGTATTAATATAGTAACTAGTTGAAGTTCTCTGTGGCCTGGTTTGGTAGGCATTCCCACTTCTGATAATTTCTATTAAGATCAAAGTAATCAGTAATCAAAGACTTATTTCCGAAGAAAGTCTTCTGATACCGTGAAGTATAATTTACATACCCTACAGTAAATTCCATTCGAAACATGGACCCTTTCTCGATTTTTCTTCCTTAATCAGTCAAAGAAAAAACAAACATTAATGAGTTAAGTAGGTAAGGTGCCAAACATTTTTTTTTTCACATAAACATCTAAGCCCAAACCCAAAGTCTTATATCTTAAAGACGTTTACAGTACTCAATGTACCACCTATCATACAAATATAGTATAACTGAATTATCCACCAAAAGATAATCAAAAACCTTACTCAGATTAATTTTGTGCTCCACGTCATATCCAAGTTAAACTAGCGTAAAAAGAAACGTAGGATGGCACTAAAGAAATCCGTTAAACAAAAAAGCCTTCTAAAGAAGTCGGTCGAACGCTCCATAAGTTTCGATATCGATGGTCGACATCTCTTCAAAGAGTTCAGATCGAAGACTACGAATCGATCGAAATAATTCAAGTTTAGCCAAATTTATAGGTAAGTTTAGACTTCTGTGCTCTTGCCGACTTGACTCTTGGTGTCCGGGATACCGGATGCGCTCAGCTTGCGTTGACGGCCGGGAAATATGCCTCCGAATAAGCGACCTGGAAAATAAGTTTATACTTTGTTTAGTTAAGGCGAATAGTACGCGTTTAAACTTTTTAAACGTTTAGAAACCTCGGAATCAAAACTTCGGATCGTCTAAATAAGTTTAACGAATACATATCGTGTTATAACCCGTTAAAAGATACACTATATACATATATCAGCGCACCATAAATGTTGGTAGGCTGATGTAGGTGGCTGCTCCAATATATATACTGAGTAAATTTCTACTTAAGTAATCTTAAACCTTTAAATAGAACACTTTCAAATGTTTAAAATGTGTCATATATTCATTATCATATTGAACTATAAGTCGACGTTTTGAATTCTTTGCAGCTGTGATCATGGATGGTGAAGTTTGTACAATTCGCATAAACTAAAGACTCTTTATGTCTCTCTTTATCGACCCTTTGCCTTTTTTAGAACTACTAATCTGAGGCCGAGACTAAAAAGTCATTCTCATGACGGTTCTGCTTTTATAATTTTGTGATTTGATAACTAAGTAAGGAATTACCTGGCGAACGTTGTTCGGGCGGGTGTCTCGGTGATGTAGCGTGTAGAGCAGAACGGCTACCTTGCTGGAAAGAGACAGACATACCGCTGTCAAGCGAACCTACAGATCCGCGTCGCTGTAGCCGCTCAGCTGCTAAAGCCACTGGAAATTCAAATTACATATTTTTTATTGCTCTTTTAGCTTCTGAATTATAAAACTTATAACTACTAAATGAAATATTAATATCAATAATAGATAGATAATTTTGGCAAACAGTACGAGTCGGACGGATGCTGTGGATGCCGATGTGGTTCAGACCCTGTCATCGATTGTTTTTCAATCCAAAGTTGTTTTTTTTAATAATATTATTCTACAAGATTCTGAAACTTAACAAATACATTAATAACAATTTATTTACCAGGATCATTTATATCGACGAGCGAGTTGCTGAGTACGTTCCGTTTGACGATAGTAGTGGGGGGTGGATGGGATGCCCGAGGGGCCGCGGGCGCCGGACAACTTGGGGGTGGTGGGACCACTCTGTAAAATAATGTGCAAACATTTGATCACTTGTATCAATCCAACTTAGCGTAAAATAATTTTCAATAAAATGTGCTGTATTTGGTACACAACCTTATCATTATTTATGTAAAAAAAATACTAGTTAAATAATTTTATAACGGGAACTATGTTAGTAAAACTTGTTTAGAAATTATTTTTAAAGAGGGGCCAACATTCTCAAGGAGTGTCTCCCCATGACAATGGCTGCTGCAAAGTTAAACATAATTTGTAAAGTGTAACCTATATATTTCGGGTTTAACCGTTAAAGTGTATTATTTAAATTACTAGTTACTATGAAAAGATAGACAAAGAGAACAAAAAGTTAACTGTGACCATTTTATTATCCCCTACAGGAGGTAGGCTGCAGCTAATGATGATTGTTATGTTACTAACCCGTGAATGTGCATGTGATCCATACACTGCTGATGATCGATCTCAACATCGGCCACTCCGCTGTCTCGGTTCTCCATGACTGTGGAAGAAAGTTCAATATGAAAATGACAAAACAGTTATAGATACCAAACAGATAAAAATGAAATAATGATACTACAAAATGATATGTCGATGTCAAACGTCACTGTCATTTTTCACTTTGGGTAATCATTATACATTGGCAGAATCCATTCAGAATAGGAAAGCCAAATTAAGAAGAATAATAACTCAGTTGAATACTTCTTCTTCTTCTTGAGTCTTTTTGCTGAATCTATGAGAATATATGAGACTTCATATTTTTTTCTAAGCTGTATAAAAACAAATTGTTATATGTAGTGTTGCAAACATTGGAAGATTATTCAAAATATCTAAAAATTATTGCACTTGACAAGCGTTATATTTTTGTATTCATATAATATAACGGTTCTGCATTATAAAATGGGATTATATGTATTCTTAAATACCCCAAGCGAATGTATTAACTTATTTAAAGAAATATTTTGTATACATTGCCTAGTACATCAAATTGTTATAGCATAATATATATTTACCATTTCTCGTGTTATTGGCGGTAGTCCGGCCTTTTCCTCTGTTCAGTTCCGCTTCGATTCTCATAGCTTCCATCTCATCCATTTCTGCGATGCTCTCTCGTAGGTCTTCCGCGAACTTACACCTATCATGCTCATTACGAGCGTTGAATGTCGCTAGACGGCGTCCGTCCACACGACGCGATAGTCGAATCCCAAATGGATAATCTGGAAGCATTCAAATCATATTTAGATAAAAATATAAAAAAACATATAAGTACAATTATTAAAAATGAAGAGTCACTATTTTAGTAATAGAAAGCTACATGTATCTATATCAGTAGCTATATATATATAGTTGGTAAAATTAATTGTTAATAAGGTTTAAAATTAGAGAGCCTTTAAAAACTTTAATATTTTCCACATGTTATGGCACTATATAAATAAAAAATCGCTTTTAAACTGGAAAAAAAATACGACACGGACAGGACTTGAACCAGCATCCACAGTGTTCCGTGCTGTTGTTCTAACAAATTGAACTACCGTGTCTCCTACCTTACTAAATCTTGAATAAAGTATCCCTAGTGGTAAAAAAATACCCCACCCGTAATTGAAGGTTGGAATTATTTAGACAATCCCCAAAGGTTTTGGACTCGGTGGAAAATAGGGCCACCCCCAATATTTTATCAGAATACTTTCCCAATGTCTAGTAGGTTCGTAAGAGTATTTTAACAACATTAGTTGAAGTCCGTACTATATCTCTTGTAACACTAAAAACAGATCAACCCTGGTCGTGGTTAAGAACTAGAATACTAACGTGGCACAGAGAAGAGGTTGACAAGCATTCCGCAAAGGGGGAACGACTGCCGGAACGTGTACGTCACTGAAGACTTCTTCTTGCTAAATATCTTAGTTATCACTAACAGATCGTTGAATAGGAACACCTGAAAGTACAAAGTCATTTTAAGTCTAATTATATTCTTGTTTGACCTTGAGCCATGGTCTATAGAATTGAAATAAATTTTGCATTTGTTACAATATTTTGACTGACTTATAATTCGGGGAAATCATTTCAAATAAGTTTAACAATCACTTTTAAACTTAAAGTTTTATTTAATGTACTACTCGCGTAAACTATAGACAATATGTAAGTGGTAGTGGCATTTCAAACTCAAACCATTGATTTCACCACAAACAAACATTGTAACAAATAAAGGGTGCTTGTGAAATGGGAAAAAGTACTCGGCTTGGGGGCATCACCACCTAAGAGGTGGTTTACAGCGCTCCCGGGGGGTAAGAAGTGACTATGAACTAGGAAGCTACAACCTACATTATTTTTTTTATTTAAATTCAATGGACATACAATACCTTCAAAAGAGTTAATTTGAGAATATATATTGAGGGTACTCATTCTTCTTCTTCTAGTTAAAGATATCTGAAATTTTTATTGTATATTTTATTTATTATGAGATAATTCTTATATTATAACAATTGATAGAACTCACCTCTCTTTGGTGCACACCAGGCCTCTCCTTCTTGTGAATATCAGGTATTTCGTAAAGCCGACAGTAGCACACGAGTCGCCGATGTGGGAGCGCCAAGTGTGGTTTTTTGCCCACGATTGTCGCTTGGACTTTCATCACCTGAAAATATGTGAAATTAATTGAAACCCACGACCCGTTGATTATTAGCAATAATTGCTACCAATACCCCAACAAGGCTGTCAAAAACTACTGATCATTCCATCCAATTTCCCAATTCTTCTCTGCGTAGTACTCTACGTTATTCCACTCCCCTTCGAAGCTTTCTTTCTCTTTACAAAGTCTTATAATTAGTCCCACCTTTAATTATTTTATGTAAAGGATAGTAGACATCATTGGAAACAATAAGTTTCCAACGATGTGTGATGATGAGGTTACATTTTATTTGCAAATGCAACAAGGCTGTCAAAAACTACTGATCATTCTATCCAATTTCCCAATTCTTCTCTGCGTAGTACTCTACGTTATTCCACTCCCCTTCGAAGCTTTCTTTCTCTTTACAAACTCTTATAATTAGTCCCACCTTTAATTATTTTATGTAAAGGATAGTAGACATCATTGGAAACAATAAGTTTCCAACGATGTCTGATGATGAGGTTACATTTGTATTTGCAAAGTGTAAGAGCGTAAGACCTAGCCAAGTCCACCCTAAAATAACCCTTATTACCTGAGTAACATGGTCGCTGCCAGGTCTAAATTCGCTAGACTTCACCCGGTCGTATATTCCAGCCAACATGTCTCTATCTATGTCCCCACAGTCGTCGATACCGCGTAGGTTCCGTACAAAGTCGTCCAGCGACATACGGGCTTCGGGTTTGAGGTTCGGCGTGTGCAAATCCGTATTCAGCATTATTATAGCGAATGCCAAAACGAAAATCTGGAACGGTTAATTACGTTATAAATAAATACATAATAATTATTAACTATTAATATTAGTACGTTATGTGTTAAAATAAAATATGTAATGTTAGGAAAAACATAATCGGTTTGTGTAATATTTTTGAGGGCATTTATAGAAAAAAATAAACAAAAGAAGGTTATATATTATAAATCGAAATCCACAAACAAATAAAAATTAAATATAAAAGTTTTTAAACCTTTAATATTTGTCATATGTTATTGCACATTTTGTAATATAAAAATGGGTTTCAGATTGGAAAAAAAAATGTAATATAGATGGTGAGGTAAGTCAATTAGAGAAAGATGTTAGAGCAGATTCAGGGCCCGTCCTTTTCGTTTTTTTTTTCAATCTATAATCGATTTTGATTCAAGTATAAAAGATTACAGTATTAAAGTTTTGTCAAGTATAAAATCGTTAATTATTTTGAGAGAGAGAGAGAGAGGAATTGCAAAAAAAACAAGGATGATTTAAACAAGTTAGCAAGCATCTAAGTGTGTCTTTCACGGTCACCATTTAGTACTTTATAGTATTTTGGACTAATATTTTAGGACAGCGATGAACAGAACGAAACAGGAATAAGTAAAGTAATAAAAGTCTTACCGTATCTTGGGTTCGTAGCCTCTGCACAAAATCGGGATTGCAGACACAGTAACGGCGCGCAAAAGCCTCCACTAGCCGTTCTATCTTCTGCGCCTCACCAGGCAACCTGAAGTGAGCTTGGTAACGCCGTAACGCGACGTCCACAGCCATTCCGGATAGGTCCAGTTCGTTCACAAAACATCTGTTATGAACATAACATTTATCAATAGCAATAGGTATTTGAATTACATCAATTATTGAATAATTATATGAGAAATTGGATAAATTTTATTTTTTTTGTCAGGAAAAGCGTTTCAAAAATAATCGTGTTTTTTTATAAATTCAGACTCAAATGTACACAAATTAGAACTGCTGGTTTATCTTAAAATATTAGATTATAAATGAATACATTTAGACTTTGGTTAGATGGCGCTGTTCTAAATAAAAACAATACTACAGCAATTAATTGAAACTAATAATAAGGCTACTCACTCTAGCACAGCCATGTTGAACTGGTTCTGCAGGTTGCCCAGGTATTCTCCAATCATCTGCTTGCTTAGACCCTTACGCGTGATGAGGAATCTCGCTACACCACGTGGAGAGTTCTCCAGAAACCCACGAGAAATTAAGTATCCAATACCCCGCTCAGGTTTCTTATTGAACAGATTCAAACCCACCCGGTACTGACGTTTACGTACTGTTTCTGACACCTGTAATAATTATCTACCATAAGATCTGGTATTTAAGGTTAGAAGATGTTGTTAAGGGGAACAATGAAGAAAGTTTATATGTTATCAAATATATAAAAAACAAAACCAAATACCAACCAAAATATTTATATTAAAAGTACCTTTAAGGGTTGTTGATGGGTGTGCTGATGTTCATGCTGCGGTCTGCAGCAGGTGGCAGGCGGCGGGGCCTCGTAGTAGGGGGGAGCTTCTTGCCTCTTCCACACATTGAAACGGTCCCCTTCATACAGCGTCCCGGATGCTGTGCGACTGTGTTGGAACTGCTGTTCGGGGATGTGGATGTGTGGTTCCTGGGGCAATTGAGTATTTTATTATTCAGAAGAAGACAATTGTTTACATTCCATAGAATCTAGCTCACCTATTAATTAACAAGCAACAGGTTTAACAATGAGGGTTTAATTATATTTTTACTAGCAGCAAAAACAGATCTTAATATATGATTATAATATAGCTGAATACTTTGTTCGTGTTTGTTTCTTTGTGGAAAGCACTAATATCGGGAACTTTGTACGGGTGAAAAATAATATTGTTGTGATCGTTGAAGGCTTTAATATATAACACTATAAAACACTAGGCTGCGACGAATAGAAGCGAAGAAACAGGAGAAAATGTGGAAAATATGGTAAAAAAATTTTTTTTTTTTTTTTTCATTGCATGCGATGCGAACACGTTTCAAAATACCCAAACAATATGTATAAAAGTGATCGAAATAAAAAATGTCTGGGACAGTATGTCTATCTTTTAAGATTAACTCACAAGAACCGTTTGAAAGAAGTAATCGAATCTGATCGAAATACTTTATATGGTAAAAAACCTTCGCTAGGTCAGCTAGTAAAATACATGTTTAAATTTCTTTACACAAATTCAAGAAATATGCACCAATATGCTACAGAAAAGAAATCCTACTTATGTACTTGTTAAGTTGTTGTTATTCTGTGATGTTTAGGAAATTACCTGCTGCCTAGGCTGGTAGACCTGGTGATAATGTCTGTGTTCTTGGGAGGAGGATGAGGAGGATGATTGCACCGAGGACATCGAACCGCCGCGTACAACCGCCCCACCGCATTCCGCGCGGCGAAGTGAAACTGGACTCTCCGCACTGGAAATAGTGTTCAAATTTGTAAATAATTTTTATTTTATTTGAATTGATGAAGAGTGGCGTTCTCCCGTGACCACGGCTGCGGCCAAGCATCCGTAACGTCGGCTCATAGTTAAAATAATTTTCAAATAAGTTTAACCAATATATATCGCGTTTTAAACCTTTAAAGTGTTTCATTTAAAACAGCAAAATTTTAAGCTACATATATAAATCAAACTAAGCTACGTTGTAATTGATGTACTATTTTTGTAATTTAGAGTAAAATAAACAAACTTCACGAGTCCCCCCGTGACCATGGATTGCTGCAAAGCTACTAAAAACTTAAACAGCTTAAGCGTTGGGCTGTAGTCAAATGAAATTATATAATTATATATTAGAAATATGTAAAGAAGTTAACTAATACATTTCGCGTTTTAAACCGTTAATGGCGTTGTATTCAATCAATTTTACGACGTTGTCACGGTGAAAGCTTGTCCCTGCAGAGGGTATTCAACGGAAAGTGATTTTTTTATTGAAACATAATTTAATATTAGGTAACCAACTTATAATAAACTATATATTCTTAACTTCAAAACTCACTTCAGTGTAATACTACTAGTACGTTTCGGTACTTAGGGGGGCAATCTTCTCGCATTCGCTGCTTGTATTGCAGCCAGCTGCTGCTGCTGCCGCGCAGTTGGCGACGAGAGTGGTTTTCCACCGGATGAGAGTAGATTACCGTATATTGGACCTGTTATACATAGTACATGTATATTGCGTCTTTGTAGTGTAAATTACAAACAAGTATAATTGTTTCATTCAAATTTTAGTAGCAATGTGAAATACCGTTTCCCCCCTTGGTGTGTGGGGCGAACACATATTCGTGTCCGTTGCTCTGAACGAGTATTTTACAAGCAAGTAGTTTATCAGTTAGTAGCTATAGACACACTAATATATCTTAATTCAGTAAGTAAATAGTTAAATAGAATTCTAAGCTTCGTCCGTCCGAAATTGTTTGATATTACCTAGGGATTTAAACCCAGTACCTCTCTGGAGTGTTGGTTTAAACACTGGGCTGCAGAGGTTACATTGACGTTAAGATGATTGAAGTGATAATTTCTTACAAGAAACATTTGTTACATAAGGCGTTACGGAGCGCATACGTATTTTTTAATTTATTTAAATTATTTATTTGATTTCGGACTTACCTGAATTATTCAATAACTGGTGATTATGTAGAGATTCATTGTGTGATGATGACGTCGATATGTTCGTCACAGAGCCACTCACGGAACAGCTGCAAACCTGAAATAAACAAATCTCGTTTATATAAAACATTTAAAAGGACTTAAAACGAAAAATTTAAAAAGGACCTAGTAACTAGTAAGTATGACCCGATGTATACGAAATGGCTCAAGGCAGCACTGCTAAATGATAAGTAAACTAATATATTTCGTGTTTTAAACCGTTAAATAGCTTTAATTTAAGTGTATACTACTCCGTGCATTATAACAATATCGTCGAAAATGAAGTAGTGCTCAATGATAAGTAAAATTCATATATTTCGCATTTATACCGAAATGGGTCTAAGTGTATACTTCTCGCGTACATTATTCGATTCTTGTTTATGAAAAATCGTTTAATACGATCATAAACGACTAGGACTTAAAAACCTACCTATTTTAAGGTAAAAATCATGATTCATTTGTTATTTTCGTTAATCCGTCAAAATGATAGGTCATTGGCACATACGAGAAGTTATCTAAAGCGTCATTATCACTTCCTAAAATACGTTATAACCTAATTCGATGCAATCAAATTTGTAACAAAACAAAACGTTTCTAATTGGAATATATTTTTAATTAGTTAAGTAATAACTGTAGTTATTTTACTAATTATTTCACTCATAATTTATATATATATTATATAATTTAATTTTACAAAGTTATTATATAAAAACTAAATATATGCTATACTTCTATCAAAGAAATCTGTTTCTCATAAAATTTTACGAGACAGATATTAGATCACATAATAAAAAAAGACTTTAAACGGTTTAAAATGCAAAAGATAATAAATTTGCAACTTCGATCTGTCGGTTTTGAATGCACAACAACACTTATAATCATGTAGGAAAAACCCAAAACAACGTTTATTTTCAACGTAGATAAAAAAACTTATTGATTTTGTATGTCGTTATGATTTTGTTAATAAATGCACTTAAGATTCACTACGTCACTTCCTATTCGCAAACACATAAAAACCAATATACCCAGACGTGGGGTATGGGTAGATATATGTCTACTTCAGTTATAGATTTTATTTACAGGCAAGTAGACGAAACTCCTGCCAGGCCCGAGCGCAATTATGTGAGAATTAATTTTATAACATGTTCACAGCAATCAATTTTAAAATTCTGAAACATGTAGGACTTCTGGAAATTTAGATATGAAATAGACAGCAGAAATGTCAAAATTCCGTCCGGGTCACGAACCACGGTCCACTGATGAAGAAGCCGTGAAGTTCAATCACATTTCGGTTTCAGTCTGTGGATTTCCAAATATCCAAAACGGAAATAGACAGAGCATCTTGTTTAGATGTTATACAGTTGGTATCACCTACCATCGAACGCACACGAAAATACTAACTTTGTCACTACGCGAGAGACGCACTCTGCCACTTTTCAAAAACCAAAAATGTCTGTTCCTAACCATCTTTCTAATCAACGTCTTGTCTTTATACGGCTCCATTGAAATGAACTGAGCCGTACCAACTCTATAACAATACTGAAATATCTGATAATGATCGAAGCAAACTTCATGACAGGATTCTTAAATTATTTACCCCGCATATGTGAAGCTAATTTCGACTGTCCCGTAACGAGATAAGGTTGATTATAGAGTGGTCGGTAATGGCCATCTAACAGTACGAAACGATAATTACGGAGGCAAATATTTGTATTAATTTTTCGCAGATAACGCACACAAAATGGTGATGAAGTGGAGAGGCCTATACTTGTATATCCATTTTGCATAAATCAAGAACATTTTCTTTACGATTTCTTTATATTTTCATATATACATTTACATATAATTTGTCACGATATCATAGACTATTAGATATATTATTGGAGAAAATATGTATTACAGAGTTTTAGCTGATCCAGTTAATTTTCATAATTTTTTTATAAAAAACTAGGACTTTTGGGTTATTTTTAATCTTAATTCAATCAATGGACGTATGATTGGTTTTAGCGCCTTTTTATTTGAGGAGGGTGGTATAAGACGGAGTTGTGATATTCTTAGAACCCATACCGTGTCCAAGATTTTTGGAAGAAGCCTAATGCTTCAGATTAGAATATGAAGGCTTAGGCTTACGAATAGACCCATCGGGGATAGAACCATCGACTATTGAATCACCGAACTCTTTCGTTTTATCTGTTTGGTGTCCACTGCTCCCCCAAAAACTCCCCGTACGACCGGTCGTTTTCTCACCGAACTCTTGAATATAAAAAAAATAATAAAAGAATACCAACCCCACTATCGGTGTCGCCCCTATGTGGAGGCATCTCGTTGGCTATCATGTGTATTTGATGAGCCGATTGCTGCACCCGTGCTACCATGGCGTCCACGTCGTTGCTCGGGTCACAGCCGAGGTGGTTCCTGAAAATTTTCAAATAAATAAATGAATGAAAATATTAAATTATGAATTAAATTCATAGAGCACCATGGAACCCTTTTAATGGTGGATGCGAGTCCCGCCCGTATAACTTTTTATTTTTTTGATTTATACACACCAAAGATAACACAGCTGATAGCAGTTAGTTATACAATTTTAACAAATTAGTATTATTTTAATTCCTAATATCACTGTAAGATTTAGGGGTGATATATTAAAGTGTTTTTTTTTTTAACAGAAGTAAAGATTTGGAAAGGATTCATTACAAATATATTTAAGATATGTTAAACATTTTTTTTTTCTATTATTTAATTAAATCTATACTAATATATAAAGCTGAAGAGTTTGTTTGTTTGAATGCGCGTTTTTGTGTTGATTAGAGCATTTATCGAGGAAGGCTATAGGCTATAAAACATCGCGCTGTGACTGATAGAAGCGAAGATAGAGCGGGAAATTAAAAAAAAAACGGGCTCTCTGTGTGTCATAACGATTCTCGCGGACGAAGTCGCGGACACGGCTGGTTATTTAATAAAATTTGCTGGCGTAACAAGTCAACGAATCCTCTTGAATTTTAAATACATTTGTTATATGGATACTGTACCTATAGCACGAATTATGGAGTATAACTACTGCAAGTAGATTTTTGAAATTAAGAATCAGTTTTGATACCATAGAGTAAAAAGCTTACCCCAAGTCGACTTCGTGTCTCTCCCGTAGTGACATGGATCGCATTGGCCTGGTGAGCGCCAGAACCTTTTCAGCTCCTACAGGACTTTTCTGTAGCATCGTGTTGGCGTAGATGTCGTTACCTAGTTACAGAAGAATTACAGTTAGCCACGAAAGTTATTGCGTTTTTAGGCTGATCGAACGAGTCGAATATCTGATGGAACAACAGCTTGAAGACCCGAGAAGTTTTGCAAAATGGCCGCCAAAATCTTAATACATATTTGCAAAAAACACATATTGAATTTAGATATTTTAATTATATTAAATGGTTCATAATTTTGATAAGATAAGGTAAGTCCTAACCTCTCTGTGGACAGATAACTCGACATTCAATAGATTTCCTCAACAGAATATATGAGGAGCTAGAGGCAGAGTAGTCTAACTGCAATTTTTCATAGTCTAAAAATGTTAATGTACAAGAGCTCACAGTGACCAAAAATAGTTAATATAATTGTCACACAAATTGTACACATTCACTTTCGCCTAAGTTAATTCCGCATTTTTATTTTCCTCGTTATTGAAAACCATGTTTTTTTTGTGTTACTAGGCCATTCTGCCTCTAGGTCTATTATTGTTATAACTCACCATTAACCATCAAATGGTCGCCATCTTGCATTCGTCTCGCGTTGGAGTCGGCTGCTTTAGCCATAGCAGTGATGGCGCTAAACTTCTTCAGCAGTTGCCTTCGGCGGAAGGCGCGTTGTATCGTAACAGCGGCCCTGCGCGCGCGCAGCCCACCGTACCTTCGTTCCAAGATTTCCACTTGCTTGTCCAGTAAATCTTGAGACATTTCATATCGACTGGAATTTCATAAGTTAAACTCAATATTTGCTTTCAGAACTGATCTCATTTATAACTCATTTGGGTTGTAATAATTCGTTGTCAAACAAATTATCGAGGATAAATAAACAAGAATGTGAAGACATTTTATCATCAATTCAAAGGTTCCTACGTCAATGAAGATAAAAACCTGAAAATTACCTACTGATAGTGTAATAAGCATGATCGTATAAAATACTCATTTACTAAGACAGATATTAACAGAAGGAAGTGTAAGTCGTTTTGAAGGAGATAATACTGTTCTAATGAAAGACATAATTTACTGGAAGGAAAATGATTTATCGTGAATTTTATGTGGCTTTCGCGACCATTTTGCAAGGCTACTTCCGTGTTCGAGCTGTTCGGCGGTCGTCATTGAGATAGTTTTTAATGGAACCCAGTTTTTTTTTTAAATAGAGGAGAACAGACAAACACTTCACTTGATGGTGCGTAATATACCCCAGCCATATAAGATCTAAGTAAGATGCGGTGTTGACGACTTTGACTTTGGATATTCGGAAACCACAGACTGCAACCGAAACGCGATTAAACTACACGGCTTTTTCATCTATGGACGGTGTCGTGACCCGAACGGAATTTCGATATCCCTGCCACCCATTTAATATAGAGATTTCCAGGCGAAGTCCAAGATGTAAAAAAAAAATTTTTTTAAATTAAAAGCATCTTGGGGATTCGAGATAGCAGCATTGGTGGGGATCGAACCCGCGACCCGTTGTTTATTAGTCATACGTTGCTAGCATTAGACCAACGAATTCAAAAGTTCTCAATTACGACTCGAACATCTCGAAAACCGGACTAGCTCTGTGTACAGAATTAAACGTACGAATATAATTTATAGACTGAAAAATAAAAATCTAGTGTAATTTGTTGTAAGTTTTCATGCTTGTTATGTTAATCGTATTATTTATGCATATTTCGCATGCTAGCATTATTGTTAACTATTAAATTTATTACATTGTTTCGCCACACAATTAACCTTCAGACTGGATGTTAGACTCGTGTCGTTTTGATCGGTATTATTATTAGTAAGTCATTATTAATTCTTGACACAGACTTAAGTTGAAAATGTATGTTATGGGTCTAGTTTCAGAAAGTCCTGAAAAACAAGTGGTTATCTGGACAGCCATATAAAATATCCTAAAAGTGTTGAAAATTAATAAATTCAATTTAAACAATGAAGATTAGCAAAATTTTATTCTTTTAGACAGAAACCAATATATTTCACTCTTCTTCTTCTTCTTAATTTGATTATGTAAATGTAAAGTTTTAGACATACCTACTATGTAATTACTGCTGTAAGGCAATCGAAAGATAGGTTATCGAAAACTAATACAAGTGAATGATTGTACGAGGATGAGTCATTTTGCATAGGTTATCTCTAATGGACGCAAAATGGATGTTTTAAATTGTCATGCTGTGGAAGTGTGGGTTTACGAAGACCTTGATACTTATGTATAACTGAAAAGCCTTTAATTTTTGAAATTGCTAAATCTTAGTAAACAATTACTTGTAAATAAAATACTTTAACGGCTTAAACCGCGACATATATTAGTTAAACTTATTTGAACATGATTTTAACTTCGGCCCGTTGTTTCGAATGCTATGCAGCAGCCGTAGTCACGGGAGACTCCCCGATCTTCAAATATGTATGTGTTGCGGCGCACGCGGATGCTGCGGCGCATGCGCAGGTCGGGCGACATCGATTGGTTGGCGTTAACGAATCCAAGACGTTTAACGAAAATATTTCGCGTTTTCAACCATTAAAGGGTTTTATTTAAATGTGTATTACTCGCGTAAACTACAGACGGTGTTTAAATAATGACTAATTCAAAAAGTGTACAGTCAACAAAAATACATTTTTTAGTCATTATAAAAGAAAATATTTAATTTAATATTTTTTTGTATTTCGACTGTTGATACTTGCTATGAATTAATATAAAACTGTAAATCCACACTTATGCAAGTTAGAGACTTTCGAACACAACACAGGAAAGGTTATGAGTTTCGTTCTTGATAGGTCTAGCACGTGAAGCAGATTTAGGTGCGATAGGGGTTCTCATGAGGGAACTATAAGTAATAGAAGGCTCTGGTCTTCTATAAACGCTATACATCGCGATACAGGACTACGCTGCATCATTTTAAAGCAGTTTTCAATCGTACTATATTTCGCGTCTCATTCTTTTATGATAAAGAAGGACATACTATCTTGGAGTTCACTTGATAGAATACCCCACACATATTAGATATAAAATAAATGTGTTGTCGACCTATGGTAATTCGGAAATCCACAGACCGAAACTAAGACACGATTAAACTTTACCGTTTGTTAAATTACGATATTCCTACCACACATTTAATATCCAGATTTCTAAATGAAGTCCAATAAGTTTGAGGAATGTTATAAATTAATTAGAAACATGTAGGAAACCGGTAGGGATCGAACCAGCGATCCGTTGATTATATTAATCGTAATCTTTGACCAATGAGCCAGCAAATTCCACATAAAATACAAGTTCTATATACTGTTGAATATCCTCATAATATGCTCCTAACTACTGACGAATGGGTCAACGCGTGACGCAGCGTAACGCATTACTCTGTACACGGCATACGGCATTTATTGAGGACCAGAATGGGTGTAAACTGTGGGCTGCATTCACGTGCTAGGTTTCCTTAGGATGTCGACAATAACCAATTACATCAAACGTTGAACGCTTCCTCAGATTATTAAAACACAAGCCCAGCTTATGTTGAACAATTGTGGACCGTGCGTTCTCGATTGATAACATTAGCTTTTATCTGCGCTTTGAAAGAACTACCATTCGAGTTATTTAGGATAGTCAAGGCCGCAAGGCAAGGCATTCCTGTGGTTCTCACATACCCTCGGGTAAGTTTCCCCCTTTTTTGGGGTAAACTGGAATCTTTTTGCGTTATCCCAGTACTGCCAATGATTCCCACGTCTGTGCCACGCCTATGAAAGGAATTTTATTGTATTGCGAACACAAGATATAATTACAATAATATAAATCTGACTGATTAATCTTAATCAAGACATTTAAGATCTAGATATAAATAAAACACGAATCAACGGTTTAAAACGCGAAATGTATTAGTTAACTTATCTACAATATCAGCATCACAGCACAGCCGGACTCCGTGACCACGGCTGCTGCAAAACATCTAAACCGTCGGGCCGTTGTTACAATATATTGTACGCAACTTAACTAATACATTTCTCCTTTTAAACCGTTGTATTAACCGTTTTATTGAAATATGTCCTATAGGGTAGCTCAATTGGTTACAGCAACAGCACGGCACGCTGCGGTAGCCGGTTCAAGTCTCGATTATATATCAGCCATCATGTGCAATAACATGTAAACTTTTTTTTCAAATCTTTAACGAGGCCAAAGGCCACCTTTAACTACTAAGACTTATGTAAAAGATAAGGCAAGTGAAAGTACCTGTTCGTATGGACAGCTAAGCCGAATCCCTCCGGTGGTGCTGCGATGTACAGAGGCGGTGCCGGCTCCGCTGCGCCCGCGCATAATCCTGCGCCAGTAGACGCGTTCGACGTGGACGAGCATGACGAGTTCGAATGATTTAATGCTGGAATTATAACAACTATTATTAATGATCTGTTATACAGTTTTAATCTGCAAAAGGACAGAAGACACATCATCAAACAGGTGGGAAGAACTACTATACCAAGATTTGTATCATTATCGTGTTGTTCAATGAACACGTACAATTAATATAATGTGTAAAGACGAGTTCTTGGTTATTTTAAATTACGTATTCCATTCACTTTCCTACTTATTATCCAAGCTGAGATACAAACAATCAAATATCCCAATCATTTAAATAAATCACTTGAACGGTTTAAAGCGGAGAGACAGAAACGTCGGGCCGAAGTTAAAAATCATTTTCAAATAAGTTTAACTAATATATCGCGTTTTAAACCGTTAAAGTATTTTATTGAAATGGGTACTACTCCCGTAAACTATAGACAGTATTTAATATCACAATCGATCTTGATTTATTAAATTGTTTATTATTTTTTTAATTTGAATATGAATTATTTAATTTAGCGGGCTCGTTAGTGTAATGGGAGCAATGCAGGGCTCGAAAATCAACGGGCCGTGGGTTCGATCGCCACCGAGTCCAATATATTTGTCATTAATTTCAAATTATAATTTTTCTGAATCATGTTGGACTGCTGGAAATATTATTATTACTTTGAATCAAGTGGTTACAAAAATACACCATGGGTAAAGTTAGTTTACTAGTATTAGATACATTTTTTAATATAAACATTATACTGTAGTTATAATTAACGAATAATAATTAAAGTACATTAGTACTACAGTATATTAGACTATTAGTCTGACTAATAGATTAGAAAACGTAATAAAAATTCTAACTCTCATTAGGACCATTGAAGTTAATGCAATTATAATCTGTTTAGATCTAAATTAAATACTGTTATTAAGTAATTAGAATAAAAACTACGTAAAAATTACGGTGAAATATGTAGAATCATAATATTAACTAATCTATTTACGAGGAACATGGATTAAATTTCTTTGTATACTCTTATATAATCTAAAATATAAAATTCTCGTGTCACAGTTTTCGTTGCTTCTCCTTTTTTACCCCTTGGGTCCACCCCTTTTTTTTTTTTAAATTTTTATTTAACCAAATTCTTTTTTCCTTTTTTTTTTTTTGGTTTTTTATTTTAATTTTTTTTTCTCTCAAAATTTCACATTATATCTCCAATTTACCATAGTTTTCTGTAAATTTTTTTTTATTTTATTTTTTTTTAATTTTTTATGGAAAAATATATATATATGCGAGCGAAATTTGTACGTGCAAATTATTAGTTTTCAAACTGTAAGCTTACCAGGCATAGGTCTATGAACCGCGGTGACGTATCGATTGCCCTCCATGTAGCCGCGGTCCGGCTCCGCATGGTGGCCATGGTGGCCACTGTGGATGTTGTGCTGGTGAGAGTAGAACCCGTCCGGGGGGTGCAGGGTTACCCCGCCGCTGCTCTCCTCCTCATCGACTTTTTGCGAGAAGCTGGAACAAGAAACGTGTAATTTAGTTACGGTATTTAGTAGCTTACATTGTTTTGGTATATATATATATATATATAGATATATATATGCAATATTGAAAACAATAATGGGATACAAACACATAATTGTCTAATCATATATCCCTAAAATTGAATTTGTATCTACTTAAATGTCTGTAGTTTACGCGGGTAGTTAAATAAAACATTTTTAACGATGTCAAACGCTAGATGTATTTGTTTAACTTATTTACAATATTGGACGTTTCGAATACTTTCCAACAATCACGGTCACGAGGGAACTGTAGATCAACGATATATAATAATTTTAAACGAATACATTTCGCGTTTGAAACCGCATAAAGTGATTTATTTTAATTCAAATTAACTAAACTATTAACAGTAAAATAATACAGAACTATGGGCAGCCTTACCCTCCACTAGCGATCTCGTCCAAGCAATCCAAAAACTTTTTTGAATGTGTAATTTACGAATAAATAAGGAATCCGCAATAATGACGATTTTAAGCGGTTCATTGTTGTCGTAATTGCTTCCTCATTATTTATTTAAGCACTAGGATGGAGCGAGCTTAGCGCCAAGTTCCGCAGAATGTAGGTTAGGTCAAGCTTTCAATCCTAACGAGAATAATTTTCAAGGGTCAAGACAATGTCATTATAAATAATGCTCATATGTACCGCACTTACTGAAAACCAGGTAGTGCCTTCAGCCTCAAACCACAACGACCGTCTTCGCTTTTCTACCGCGTTTTAAACCGTTAAAGTGTTTTATTTAAATCCATTTATTATCCACATTTCCAGACGCAGTCCAACATGTTTGAGAAAAATTATAAATATTACAAATATATTAGACCAGGAAGAGATCCAACCCACGACGCGTTGATTATTAGCCAATAGTTTTTAGGTAGCGTATGCTACCGTATGATCATGTTCGTCAGAGATTTTGTGATCTGCGTTCGTGTTACGAAACACTAAGCCAAGGGGATAGTTTTGTACTATCGACCTTAAATATGGGAACGGTAAACCCCCTCTTTATTTTTGGTAACCGATAATCACCAATAATCCTTATAATAAGATTATAAGGATTATTCGCAAAGATAATTCGAAATATTTAATCATGGTTGTAAAATTTATCTTTGAATATATTTATTACGTTTCACTGAAGGGCTAACGAATAAAATAAATTAAATTCTTGTTTAAATGAAAAGTTTCAATTTCAAAACATTGCATCTATACTAATATATAAAGCTTAAGAGTTTGTTTGTTCGCGCTATTCTCATGAACTACGGCTTTAAATTAAATTATTTGTGTTCGTTAGAGCATTTATCGAGGAATGCTATAGGGTATAAAACGTCGCTCTGTGACTTATACAAGCGAAGATACAGCGAGAAATTTGAAAATATATTGGGAAATTTATTCATCATTATGGGTTTACGAGGCGTACGCTGCAATAACGGTTCAAGAAACTCAAAAAATATGTGTGAAAGAATGATTCCTCTTAAAATGATCTAAAAAAGATTCCGCGATGCTATATGTCTATCTTTTAAGATTAACTTGCAAGAACGACGGGATGAAACGCGACCGACGCCAGAACAAAATAAAAGCTATTTTTTGTTATTTTAATTTTAATAACGAATAATGTATCAACTTAAAGGATATGTTTGTCAACTGATAAAATAATGTTTTTTAAAACAAAAACAAATAAATAGTGTTTAGCTTAGGTATATAAAATGAAGATTTTAGGAATTATTTTAATACAAGTCCTGAAATCATTTTGACGTTTACCAAAAAGGGTTTTGAAAGGAAGAGAATAAAGGATGCATGGCTTTAGAGCAATAAAGACATACCTAACATGCGACTAGTACATTCCACGTAGTTTACAAGTAACAGGACTGGGTAATCACATTATGAATAACTCGAATTCCATACAGACCGGTGGAGCGTACAAATTTTACCGTAACAGTTCCGTTCTTTACGCCAGACCATGAATAATTAATACAACCATAACGCTCATAAGTGAGCCAGTAGACAGTGTATGCGGCACATAAAGAGTGCCTAACAATATACAAAGGTTATATGCTATATCCATTGGACATAAGAAAAAAACAATACGGGTTACGTATCAAATTAACAAACTTGGGCGGTAGTTAAGCATTTGTTAAATTAAACACTTTTAACGGTTAAAATTGACAGGAAGTAGGTTTGTTAAAAATAAGTTAATTACTATATTTCGCGTTTTAAACCGTTAAAAAGGTTTCACTTAAATGTTAGACGGTAGTTTCCAAATTATGGAATGATACTCTTACGTTTGAGACACCTAACGTTATTACTATTAAATTCTACTTTAAAAGAGTATAAAGTTACATAAATGTATAGTATTTTTTAAAATAGTTCTTAGTAACATAGGCATTATGAAGTTCATAGATGCAAAGATTCAAATATAGATATTTTATAAGAAGCAAGACATTATTAAACTAATATTGTTTTAAAATTGTTCTAGAAGGATATTGCTGTTTACTTCAAACGGCGTCGTAAAATTTCTAATTCCCTTATCTATTCCAGAACATATGACATAAAGTTGCCCACGCTTTGGAACCTCCCCAAGTAAATGCAATAAGATATACCTGGGACTCACAATTGTTAGCTCTGCACCAATGTCACAAACAGAGCCATAATTTCTCTACTAACGAGGTAAAGTAAAGCAAAGGTAAAGCACGTTATAAAATTTAATTTAAAACAAAGTATTTTATCATGACCCGCTTTGAAAAGGGAAAAATTTAAATTGACAGTGTAGTTATTTCATATCATATTTTTTCTGCTTTTATAATGATACTGCAGTAGTCGCTTATGTAATGGTAAATACAGTTTAGTTAATAGTAGTACATCTAAGTATATTAATATAAAATTAGTGGATTTAAAATACGTTACTTAAGTTAAACTACCTTCACTCACTGAAATTGGGACGGTAGTTTGTGCCAAATACACGGACGAAATGTATAAAATTTAACGTCTCCAAAACTGTACTAGAACATCTCTCGAATGATAATTTTGTTGGCCCCGTGAGCTATAAGCTGGAAGAGCTAAGAGATAGTAACGACACTAGTGTTTAGAAAGTTAGAAAAGCACTTTGATACAACAATTTGAGCCTCTCCGCAACCGCGCTATCGTCGCCTGTATAATGACATTGTTATGAGAAAGCATGTCTATATTCCTGCATAATGAGTTCTCTTGGGACACTTCAGTATTGTACAAAGCGAGTGTCGCCTTACAATTAAATGTGTTGCTAATAACTTTCTCTTTACATAAAAATAGGTCATACTATTAAAGTTATCGAAAATAGTCAATGTGCGAAAACTGGTTTCTCCCAAGCGTTGTACAAAACATTTCCACGTACGTTTCTCTAGATGTTTTTTTCTACGAGTGTTGGTAAGACTTCTGTGCACTGAAAAATCCGAAATTCGAACACGCACGGATAGCAAGATCCGAACATTTACAAAAAGGAACCATTTCTTAAGATGCTTGAAACAATGACAGCGATACATTTCGGATTTCGATGTTAATTAGCTAAAAAATATCACTTACCATTAAAAAGCAATAGCGTGAATATATCCAATATAAATCTAATCTATGCGCTATAAATTCCGCTCTTGAAATCCGGAGCAAATAACTGCTACATAGACACTAACAGCGAGAGTACACCATGATCCTATTAGACTAAAATTGGATTTATATTATAAAGCCATGACGAAAAAATCACCATTGATTTTTGTCGTACCGTGACGATGCTTCTATTACTAATAAAATAATTATATAAAAAATAGTTAATAAAACAAACAAAAGTAGATTTCAGTATTGTCTATTGTCTACGTGAATGGTACCACATTAAAATATATCACTTTTAACAGTTTGAAAGGTCAAACTAGTTATTTTATTTTTAACTACGAGTCCACTATGTTGTCCCTCGTGGCTACAGATGCTGTACAGCATAATTCGCGTAGCCATGGAATGTTTTATTTAGAGAAGTTTCGTGAAATTGCCTTATCTATACTCTTCATGTAATGAACAACACTGCACTTGAAAACTATTACAACACGGGCTCAAATGCGAATTTAAAACAGCTTTCTACAGGTTTATTGCTATTATTCAAGATTAGAACAGTCACACGCGTCTATTACCTACACTAAAATAAACATAACATAGACATACGCGTTCAAATGCCTAATTAGATTTCCCTTAGCCTTGTCGAGTGATATAATGGAAAATAAACTTTATTAACACATACATAAAAGCCAATGTTGCGCTGAGTATACGAAACAATAATTTTTAACGGCATAGATAATTTTAAGTGATAAAAGCTGCCAATTATTTCTTTCCCCTATCGCCTTTATTGGAGCGGCGCCATGTAGCGGCCTTGTGCAACACCCTTATCCGCAACATACGTTCCAGTTTTCGAAATAATTTCTGAACTTCGTTTCAGTTCACTACTGGGTCAAATAACATAAATGTATGTATTTCGCAGCGGTACAGGTCAGGTTTAATCAGTAACACGAGTTAAGTTGCATACACACTCACTAGTATGGATGAGCGAAAATTCGCTTAAACCGGCGTTCGGTATATTGAAAAATTGACAGTGGTTAAAAATTTCAAAATTCAGAACATACAATAAAAACACTTAAACCAAAAAATATACATCATAGCTTTTTAATAGCACCGTGCAGTGATGATGTAAATAAGTCAATAGTTGTCACACGATACAGTAAATAGCATTTTCTTTCAAACCGAATCTTTCGTTAAAATACGATTTTGGTTTCAACTTTCTTTAAGGTTTCTAATGAGATAAATTAATTAAACATAACAAATAAGTCCAAATAAATACTGTCTGTATTTTACGCAAATAGTACACATTTAAATAAAACACTTTAACGGATTAAAACGTGATATATATATATTAGTCAAAGTAATTTGAAAATTATTTTTATTACGGCCCGACGTTTCAAAATGCTTTCCTCTATTCTCCCCGTGACCAAGGCCGTAATTAATTTTCAAATAAGTATAACTAATATATATCGCGTTGTAAAGTGTTTTATTTAACATTGCGTTTAGGTTTGTTTTCAGTGAAACGCTGGAAATGTAAACGATGAAACGGAGACCAGTCGCATCTTAAGTGTAATTTCGAAATGTAACGAAACGAAACGACCCATTGTCACCGAGGTACGAGCTTTCTATTCAGCAGTAGACTTGATTAATACGGCTGAATGCACCTCGTTGCAGGAGTGACCCAGTTTCAGAAAAAAATAGTTATTAAACTGCCCACGTTTGTGAGGGCCAGATTGCCTGGTTTAACGAAAAGGCTTGCGGTTTGAGTTTTTAACCATTTCAATCTGTGTTCCCAATTAAAATACTGCAACCGCTTACAGACTATAAATCGCTTTTTCTATTTTTTTATTCGTTTAATGAAAGCGGTTGAGCGGAAAGTAAAAATTGTATTTCTTTCGCAAAATGTGCTTTTAAATTTTATAACATTGTGTTTAATTTCTTTTTGTTTTTTTTTTTTAATAAAATGGATGCTATTTTATAGAAAGTCGAAGGGATCTAAAGCAAATCAAAACCTAATACAAAGTCCTCACTTGCTGATCAAGTGTAGGTACCATTCATTAGCTGAGACACATATTTTAATAAACGCCCTAATAGTAATTTTAGTCAAGACTTTGAGCATACAATTTTTACAACTCATAATTATGCGAAAGCGAAGAAATTTATAGGACATTTTTTATTATGAACATTGGTCGATACTTAAAACTAAAATGAATTATGTTTAGTTATATATGTAGTCTTAACTTTGTATTACCAAACTCTGATAAACCTTTTTATAAACTAAATTAATAATTATTCACTATTCCGACACCCAGGGGAACTACTTAAGAAACTTAAGTCTGCTGTCTTTTATTAAGTTGGAAAACTTAATAAAACTTAAATATTGCGCTTAATTTTACGATACTTAAATTAAATTGAGAAAATAAAACATAGGTTCTTCTCAAACATACTATTGCCTTAAACAACTCACCCGTAATCTGGTTTCTGACAAAACCAGGATCTGGTCAGCTTCGCTGCCTCTAACAGAACTCCTCCCAAGTCACCGATCCTCATACCAGAGCAGCAACATCCATCACCTTCTCTATCTTCCACCACAAGAACCACTTTAGACTCTGACTTCGCCACTTTGCTTTCTTCACTAATTCCGATACATCAGTCACTTTTCCTCATAAATCGTAACATTGTTTGCGTTTCGACAATTATATTGACAGTTTCATTTTATGCACTAATCTCGTTGATTTATTGTGATTTCACCAGTTTATTTTCTTTCACTCTATTTGTACAGTCCGTTATTTATAGTTCTGACAAATCTTTAACGTTAATAAAAATATAATAAACATTACTGCAAAACAACTTTACTGGGATAAGTGGTGCTAAATAATAAGACTGTAAGGCAAAGAGCCTTGAAGACATTCACTTATCTATTAATACTAGTCTTAAAACGAGAGGATAAATTTAATTCACTTGCGAGCGAATTTAATTCAGAAGAAAACATCTTACGTACCCTTTAAATATTTTCAAAAAGAACGTCAAAAAAACCTCTGCGCATTATACAGTATACAATGGACTATTTATTAGTTTATAATGCACAAATTACATATCATAAAACATATGTCAGATGTCGCTTCAAGAACGAAATAATTTTCTCATTTTTGTGTAAATAAGAACTATGAATACCACTTGCTCAAACAGAAACAACAAATAATACAAGCCCAATATGACAACTAAAGATGATGTCATCAGTGGAAAACCACAGAATACTGAATAGTTGATGTTTAAAAATTTTGCAATGACGAAGCTGATTATTATCATAATATTATGGCTTCAAATGTTACTACTGTGACAGACTACGGACATCAGAAGACATCAGGCTTTGTGAAGTTTTTAGGAAATAAAGCTTGATAAGAAGATTGAATTTGCAAAGAATATGTATTGTTTAAACAAATACTTCTTAATTAATAAAGGATTCTATATTATTATAGGATGATAAATGAGATAGTATGGAATTGTTATTTGGGAAAGCTGTTCTACAAAGCATTTTCTTCTTTTCTCTTCTTTATATATTCGGAAAACAATAAAATTTATCTAAAAGAAAGATCAAAAGCTAGTCGAAATATCATTTGTCTCTATATTAGAATAACGATTTTTCTTATACAGAAATCCATAGTCAATTCATTTTGATTTAAAAAATAATAATCTAAAAAACCACAATTTTATACCCATACTTCATGAATCGAATTATTATCTCATAACCCGAGAACACATGTGTTAATATCCCTAATAAAATCCAGAACAATCAAAGTGAAGCAGAATACAATCAATCCAGAAGCCAAATATCAACTGAATTCCGTTGTTCCAAATGGCATCATCGAGGTGCAGATTGCAGACCAGATATACTATGTCTTAAAGATACTATTTCAATGTCATTCACACGACACCAACTCGTTGATAGTTAGATCAAATGTCTGAGCTGGTGTTAACTACGGTTTTAGCATTTAGGTTAATACTGAACGGTAAATTGTTATAATTTATATTATCTAGAAATTCTAACATTCAATCGAACGATTAGCACGTAAGTTTAATGTTTTTAAAGTAGCTACTTGTCAGAAATGCTGATACACGCAAAGTTAGTTTTAGGGTTTTGTTCGTAAGGGTTTTGAATCGTGAAAATGTTACAATTTTCATAATTAATAATAAAAAGGAAAATCAAATGACCTACTTCAATGGATTCTTAATAAAGTAAATGATTTTAGCCGTTCCCACAGGTAATGGTATGAAACCCATCGATCGCATCTGCCACTTGCACTTGGCCGGTTTAGTAAATTGTTATAAAAATCTCAGAGATATGTTTGGAAATAATTTGTTACGTTGAATAAAGCCGATGAAATGAAGATTTAAGCGACCGATTGCATAAACAATGAAATCGAAAGTAATTCAGATTTGCCACAAACAACAAAGGCTTGGGTAAAATGAGGAAGTCAAACAAGGCCAGACTTTGATAATTAGGTATTTAATATCGTAAGCTTTAATTGTATTTATTGGCATTAAGTTATTTTAAGATATGAAAATGTATATTCCGTAAACATAATGTACCTAGTTGAAATTATATGCCTACAATATAAATTCTATCTTTAGAGGTTGTCTGCAAGCGCTTATGCCTTCTAATACTAATAACAGGGTGCATGTATCAACTTATTGATACATGCACCTCTCGCGCAAAAAATTCGACGATGAGGTGTAGAACTTGGCAGCTCAATTGGTAGAGCAACAGCACGGGAAGCTGACGATGCCGGTTCAAGTCCTGCCCGAGTGCAAATTTAATAAATTTAATTTCGATTTTTAAAAGATATACAAGTACGGGGTCACATGATTGAAAGATGGTATTTCAACCTTGTCGCTAAAGTAAACAGCATTATGATATTCCTACTCCTTAGTAAACGGAGTGTAACATGTTTCGGAAGGCTTGTAATATGATTAGGCATCTTAGGCAAATTTCACCTGCTACCAGATGGTTATCGTCGCCTCACCTATCTAACCACGAACATAATATTGAACGACATTTCCAATATAAAGCAGCATCCAATAATGTCCCAATAATTTAATTGCAATTAAGCAAATTGTTTCTTATATTAACGACGAAGGTTAAGGTAATGTATTATAGATCTCTGAACGGCCTTCGCAATTAATCACTGAAATGGTACAAGTCACGAACGACAGCGTGCTTATATCGCGAGAAATAGTGTTGCGTCAGATAAATTTACAGGGTTGCAATGCAGAATAAAATGTGAAGAAACTGAAGTTGTAATAAATAAAAAACACAACGAACAATGTCTCACGACTGTCATAACTTGTAAATTACTGCCACTTGCAGCTTAGCTATAAACTTCGCAACCTAATATAAGTATAACCTCATATAGTTTAATGAATAATTAAAGTATCACAACGATCGCTGTTGACTGTTATATTGTTATTACTGTGTTTTTAGTGATAAAGAGTGTCAACCCTAATGCGAGTAGCCAGACCCCTAAACACACTACCGATCTACAGCAGCTACGGCGCTTTCGAGGGAGCTCTGAACCTCAGAGCCTGAGCCCTTTGTACGACTTCAAAGCACCCAGCACAAAGCCTATTTCAGACAAGGAGAAATTAGCGATGATTTTGGATAGTGTCACCTTCTTGATCCCCTTGATTGTTTATCGTTTTGGAACTATTAGTAATTGAGTCAAGTTTCACGTAACACAATTACGCTGAAGCCAGTGACTTGCACCATACACTATACAATCAAGTGGCAGTGGCGAGCGGAGATGTCGCCGCCTTACACAGAACTGATTCAATTAAAACGCAACTTAATTGCGTTTGTAATAAAACGCAACTTTGAACACTTGAAATTGTTTTCTGATTGCACTATCAAATTTACAACATTCGTAACGAAGTTTATCATTGAGCCATTTTATGTTATGCCATTTCGGGCCACATGACACAGACCTAAGACCCAATACTGAATCCAAAAAAATATATTGACCTGTATGTATGTATCAAACATGTAAGTAGATTTAATATCTTACATTACTTATTATCCCAGCTAAAGTAATAAAGAATCTGACTTCGTTTATCGCCTCGTATTTATTAAGTACTAGCTGTGCCTGCGACTTAGTGCGCGTTGCACAGTTGATTGGGTCTTTGGGCAACGCCTTCCTCGACAAATAATTAAACGCGCTTAAACAAATAATTAGCTCTTTAGCTTTATATAACATTGGTGTGACCTTTTCTATATGCGTAATATCACGCATTAATTAAAAAAAACATGATTGCTAATTACACGTACATACAAATGAAAGAATGTATATACATAATATTAATTTTCGTAACGTCTTAACAAATTTTACAAAGTTGCATGAAACTTTGCGAGACAAGTTCGAAAGCTGTAATTTACTATTGCATATCAACAGACCAGGTTTCTCGACAAGGATTTTGTTTACATAGGTAGTCTGACCATAAAATTGAATAAAACACTTTCAACGGTTAAAAAGGTGATAATATAATAATTAAATTTTAAATACTAATTTTTAAATTACCAATGCTGTGTACATTAGTAATTGGGTCCTACAACGATATTTTAAATTTATCATTATGTTGTGTAAGTTTAATGTAGTGATTTTGATATACAAAATAAGTAAGTAGATGATTTATTTTACCTACGTAAACACACGTAGGGTACGAAAACAAACCAGAGTATTTTTACTAACTATTATATCTAATTAAACAAACCAAGCCAGGATGCTCAAATTGTATGTACGACAGATATTCAGCCCAAGGTTCGTCCTCCGGTTGTGGAGTAAATATATTTTTCTCTTCATGATCAATAGAATAAAACTTTACTGACTTATTGTGAAGTGTTTATACTTCTAGGTAAACTATTAAGTAAAACAAGATTAAAAAACAAAGCCGCCGAGATAAGGATTACATTGATATTAGCTATGTACAACTGATCCAACCTGAAATAGACTTGCATCCAACCAGCTATTGTTGCAGAAACAATGGCAGTTGGGCAAGTGAAATTAAATTATTCAAACGCTGTTGACTATTACACTACGGTCCTCTACAAACACAATTGCGTACAGCGTAACGCGTTATACTAGCTGACATTAGTTTGTTAATAATTTTCCAAAGACGTCTTGCTAATAAGAGTATTGGCTGTGTGAGCGACTTCGTCCGCGGAGGCTAGTGAATTAGTTATGGAACGAGGAAGATTTTATTAATAGAAGCAAAAAACGTGTACTAAGGAAATCAATTTCCCTCGACAAACGTCAATTTTCTTAACAGGATAAGAAATTGGGTGTGATGAGGGTGTGATGAAGGGTGTGACAAGGATGTCGTTAAATTAATTCCATCTTCTTTAGCTTTTTTATAGTCTATAGATACTCGTTGGCGAATAGGAAGAACACATTTCTGTGTCCATTTTACTAATCGTATTTAGAAAGAGAAAACAGTCGACCAGACTTCTAGTACCATGCCCAACCGAAATAAGTTCTCGTTTCTTAAGGCAAGCTACAAAGGCGGTCGAATCTATATAGTATTAGTCGTATCGATTACAATATGTCCATATAATATTATATATAATTTAACATTGCTGTGCGTGTTGAATTTTTAAAGAAAAGGTTTTTTGCTTTTGTTTAGGAGCGTTCTCAGCAGTAGGACATGGATAGGTTGACGAAGTAATGCAAAAATTTCATTAATTAAAAAATAATACATCTACTCTACAAATAAATCAAGGTATAGCCAAGCCAAGCCATAACACAGATTTTTTCCGATCACAGGAGAGCGGCTCTTATGATCTTGCCGGATGTTTCGTACTACCTTCAGAGCCTCGTAAACATGATGCCTATTAGGGATAACAAGAAAGTAGCAATTAGAGCGAATCTTTTACGCATAACACGCGCGCGAAACGCACTCCGGCGCATAGAGAAAACGCCGAACATGGCATATTAATATTGGGTATGCATAACGCATATTGAACACACAAATTGGATCATTTAGTTTTACTACTAACTGAGAAATGTAATGTTGTTTTTAAATAAAACGCTGTAGCGGTTTAAAACGCGAATATATAGTCAAATTATATAAAAAACTTTGCATACGGCCTGAGTTTCGAACGCTTTGCAGCAGCCGCGGTCACGGGGAGACAAAAGATGGAGGGTGTCTCCAAAGTTATGGTAAAAATACCTAGAGCATCTCATCGTTGAAATTGATTTTTAAACCGTTAAAGTATTTTTTAAATTTGATTTTGGTTTCAGTCCGTGTATTTCCGAATATCCAAAACCGTAGATAAGTATACGACAAGGGTGTTCACCATCCAAGTGAATCCATGATTATCCCTCCTCTACCAAAAAAAAAAATCAAGGAAAACACAAGTTTACCTGTATAGTACCGTCCTTGAAACTGGAACTGTGAACAAAACAAACTGCATAATACAAGCGACCAAGTTTATCGGAATCTAGAGTATTCCTAGAGTAAATTACAATCTATAAATATCTCTAAACGTTTTGCGCTCATCATTCCTTACGAATTGCAACGCGATTTTTTTACGAAACAAGTTTATAGTACTACCACAATGTTTGCAAGGCTACGCCAAGATCTCCAGAACAAGAATCTTAATTACAATACAATGCGTTATTGCATATTGCAAACGTAAGGTCAGACCGCCTCTGTAGCCAAATGGGTAAACGTATTGCCTAGCATTGCGTTAAGCGCGAGAGAACCTAGGCGTGAATTCCAGGGAAACAAAAAAAATTGTTTCGGTCGGGCAGGGCACAGTATCAACTACTTGCCTGTTAAAAACGGATCAGTGAAACAGACACAGAAATGTGTTAGCCCCATGCCCCACGAGGGGGAAACGAGATTTCACTTTTAATTTAGGTAAAGCGATCACTAACAAAGAAATCTGGTCCTAAATCTATTTTAGGGAGGGATGAAAATGATTTAAATAAACACGCAGGTAGAAGCCAATTTCGGTCGTTTTTTTAATCCGTACGAGATCTCAAACAATAACGACCAATATTTTTAACTACGACCCGACATTTCGTGAAGGGATAATAATATATTGCGTATTTTGAACCGTTAGAGTTACAAAAGCACAATAAGGAACAGTTATTACGCAAAACATTTAAATATAGAAATGAAAGTAATTTTATCACTGAATCGTGTAATGCTGATAAATTTAATTGCCAACAAGGTTATATAATCAAATATATATACGAAAAGTAATTTCAAATGCCTAAAGAACTTGTTGTAACGAAAACAATATACTAATAAACTCCATTAACGTCACTCTATTTAACGACAAACTCTCTTAAGCGTCGAAACACTTGGCTTTGGTTGGTTTAGCTTCTTTTTCATACAATGTTTCTTTTCCATGTAACGACAACTCTCTATAACGCCATAAAATGCACAGTCCCTTCCGTGTCGCCAATATAGAGTTTCACTTATAAGGAACCTAACAATATAACAGACAAAACATTATTTTTCAACCTAAGCATGTCTCCTGTACTGTACAGGTCTCCTCCTAATAGGACAAGGTTACGTCGCTCCGTTTTGGTGTGGTTAGACAGAATTTAACAACTTCCGTCACTGAATTAGCGAAAGTATAATGACCTACACGTGAAGATTTATATATAAAAAACATTTTATTATTTTACTATGTTAAGAATCAATTCAAATCTATCGCAATCCTAAAATGACACAGTAGATAAACAACGCCGCAAGAAAGTAGAATTTAACAGCGCAATAAAACTAAAACTGTGACTAAATAAACACAATAATAAACTTTTACCATCGTCATAGCGTCATTCCAACACCTAATTAGGCATAATGGCCCTTTCACACTCATCATTACATTGTTTTGCACCACGTGCACAATGCGAATGGAAGTCGCGTAATATCGTGCGAAGGCGCCATTGAGATCTTGGGTAACAATGCCGTCATTTTGGGCAATATCCTCCATTGTCAGTGATATAACTGCGGGTCAGTTGATTTTGCACAATATTAGGGGAGAGCTCGAGATTATTAATCGAGCCAGTATTAAGTACTATTGATAACTGCATTAATTTTTTCGTAAATTTTTAGGTTGCGTGGAAGAGTTCGCTGGTAAGCAATAAGGCTGCCTTTGGCTATGACTAATAGTGATACAGGTATAAGTCATAAATTGCTTTGAAATGAATTTAAGACAGAACCAAACCGAAAATATATCTCTCACACTTTTCATTTATATAAACATAAATATATAAAAATATGGCAGTAAGCGGACCATTTTACATACTAAGCATATTAAGTAATTATAATACTCGTATGTTAAATAAATCAAACACCAATAATGAATAAAGAGCCTTGACTATCTATATTTTGTTTGACATGATGTGAAAAGCCGTAGCTGACGGCCGACCGCATGGAAATATAGGCCTAGTGACCGTAATCTGCGTACGCGCACCTAATGCGGGCACTGGAAATGAGGCAAAGGCTAGCGCATAGTCATTAGTATAAGACACAGCTTTTTGATATCAACAAATGTATAAGTATTAAGCAAATGTGGAATATAGGACTCTACAATTGTGAGAATAATTATATAAGGTGGTTTTCTCTAATAAGTACTTTATATACTATGTTATACGTTGTAGATAGAAATAGGCGAGTAAACATTACAAAAAGGACTGAAACTCTTTAAGACATTAAAGAAACTTAATTTATAAATCCACTAGTCCAAAATTAACATGCAATTGTAATAAAAAATAACTGTTTAACCCTGGAAACCTATCACAAACTTAGTTTACAACATTTCGTTTTAAACCATGAAATCTTGCCAGCTTCAAGATAAGGCATTCGATTGCGCAGTCCGCGATATATCAATTGAATTTTGCTCTATAGATGGCAATACCGATATCAAAGTAACGGTACAAACTTTCCTTTGTACCGCATTCGAAATTCAAACTATTTCTCAAAGCGTGAACCATTGCATGTATGTGACATATCTGGAACGAATTTATCGATGCGGTCTACAAATTAAAAACACTTGTTATGTGAACTACTTTGTAAGTAATAGTAGCTGTACATATTGTTAACTAAGCACGAATTCTACAACTACCGCCTATTTTTTTTAGAAACTCATCCAGAAATAGGAGAAGAACTTTTAAATACCACAACCACGGAATGCTTAGGAGACCCATGAACACAATCTGAGCGCGGAGATAGAATCTAAGGGGGTTGCTTAAATCCAAAACCACACGGAGATAAGTTTTCAATTATTTTTGGTTTTAAATTTTAGTGCCTTCATGTGCAGTAACATGTAAAAAATAATAAAGTTTTTAAAATTATTCATCCATCAGTTTAGCAAATTGATACATTTCTCATCATAATGCTTCTTCAATTTCAAATGTGAACAGTGTGACAGGTGAATGAAGGTTGTAAATATGCAATTGTGCATTGTGAATTCCCACATGATTTTATAACGTATTAAATAAAGGAATTTTGTTTTATAAGGCAAGTTTTTGCCGGAATTGAAGTTAAAATAAACAATATATAGAACAAACATCTTAAATTTATTGAAACTATGAGCCCATTCACTATGAGTTAATAATAATCCGAAACGAAACGTCGGGCCGTCGTAATAAATTGTAAACTAATACATTTCGCGTTTTAAACCGTTCAAAGTGTTATACATACATACTGTCTGTTTTCGCTAGTAGTACACACTTAAATAAAACACTATAACGGTAAACGGTATATTATATTAGTTAGTGGACGGGAGGACCACGGCTCTCAAAGCATCAAGCCTCGACCTGTAGTTGAAAAAATAACCTTCAAATAA